TATCTGCCAGGCACAGCAAACTCTTAGAGCGTGGCATATGAACCGGCACAACAGAGACTCTGGAGGTGACCCGGTTGGTCGTGTGGGTAAGCCTACGACCATCACCCCCCAACGTGTTGAGACCCACGCATCTGCCCGTAATCCCCAACGTATCATACGAGAGGATTCTGCCGGTAACTGGGATAGCTATTTCAAACACCTCTGCTTAACATGCAGACAGCCCAGGTTCGAATCTCAGAAGGGTATGTCTGGCTGATGAAAACCAAATAAGGTTTGAAATAGCTATCCCAGTACTCCCTTAATTCTTTGTTAGCAATTCAAATTTTGGAACACATATGATGTCGCAGTTAAGCGACTGCTGCCTGTGGATGGCTCTAGGTTGAGCTGATACAGGCAAAAGACTTCTCTTTCCCATATTTTGGCCGACAGGGTGCTCTAAAAGAAAAAAAGCATTCATCCTCTTCCCCTGTCTCTTGTAGCTAACAAAGTGAGAAAGAGCCTGTGGCCTAATGGCTAACACCTCTGCTTAACATGCAGACAGCCCAGGTTCGAATCTCAGAAGGGTATGTCTGGCTGATGAAAACCAAATAAGGTTTCCCAGTACTCCCTTAATTCTTTGTTAGCAATTCAAATTTTTCAGGATGCGTTTGGTGGCTGCAGAGTTGGAGTGGAATTTCAATTGGAAGCATGTGGGGGTTAAATTTTGATCTCGGCAGTTGCGTAGGAATGCGAGGTCACATAAAATGGAAGCTCTTTGGACTTCAAGTTTTTCATAAGTCCTGGTCAGATGGTGGATTTCCTCCCCGTAGAGGTACGGTATTTGTTTTCTGAGGTTTTCGTGGGTGTTTGTATGTAGGTCTTCAGTTATTTGGGTTTTCTCCCGCGTAGAATTAGAAGTGTCTTGGCGACGTTTCGACGAAGTCACATTCATCATCTTCAGGCTGGTGTCTTCAGCTTCGTGCTTCTGGGAGTAGTGTGTGTGATCGCAGCTGTTTCTTCCTTTTAACTGCCAGTGGGGTTTGAGCTGATTGGGTGGGAGCTTGGCTGTGTTCTGATTGGGTGGGGGTGTGTTCTGATTGGTTAAGGAGCTTGGCTGTGCTCTGATTGGATGGGGGGTTGGCTGTGTTCTGATTGGCTGGGGGAGTGTTCTGTTTGGGTGGGGGCTTTGTTGTGCTCAGATTAGTTTGAGTTGCAGGGGGATTTGAGATGGTGAGCTTCATTGCTGTTGTTTGGCTTCGTGTTCGTGGTCGTGCCACATCTTTATGGTGGGTGTCAGTTTGCTTCATGTATGGATTGGAGGGGTTTAAAGTGGCTAATGATGCAGCTGTGGACTGGCTTCTAGTTTGTGGTCGTGCCTCATCATCTGTGTGGGTTTGAGTTTGCTTTTTGCGTGGATATGTGGTGACATCCTGTGTGGTTTTTGTGAGTGTGGGCCTGGTGTCATTCTTTGTGTTAGGGACTCGTTTGCCAATAAGGACGGGTTTCCAAATGGCTGGTAGGCGGGAGGTATCATCTCGTTTATTCATGCTGTAAACATATATATGTGTGTGTGTGTGTGTTTAATGTGAAATGTGAGTATGGAATGGTATTACATAAGAAGAGGTAAAATATATGTTATGAAAAATGATGAGGGGAAAAAAACCTCTTATACCTGACTGAATATATTATGGTTAGCAATCTTTAAGGAAATAAGAATGATGCTATAGCCATACTGGATAGAGTGGTCACAATAATAATTAGCCAAATTTGGCCATAGATATGTGTAATTAGAAACAAATCTAGGGATTTTGTTTTGCTTTGTTGGGCTTCTAAACCTGCCACAAATGCCAGGCAGGATTTTCTGACACAAAAATACGAAACATAGCAGGCAAAATTAAGTATCTTGCATAGTTATCAAGAACTGTGTCTCCCTGTGAACTGTCAGGTTGAGATAGGTTATTTATGGCTGTTATTAGAACAGCAACTTGATGGAGATATTCAAAGCCCTGTGATTGACAAGGTTCATCTCTTATTGATGAGACTCATCTCCTTATTGACATCATGGATTTAAAATTAAAATGGTCAGGCTCAAAATCAAGAATGATTCAAGGCAGTTGTCACGGTTCCGATAGATGAAACCCATCAAAAGAACTTCAAGGCAAGAATTCTTCCTCAAAGAACATTTTATTCAGGAAACAAAGTATCATCCACACTACATAGTTGAACCCAAAAACTAGATTCCCTAGATTCCCTAGATACAAAGTAACAAATTGCAATTCCTACCCCCAATAAGCCATCATAAATCATATTCTCCAATTAGCCTGAAATGTGGGTTTTCTCTCCAGCTCCTCAGCCTGCCAAAATGTTATCAGTTCGTCCTTGGGTTCCCACAAAGCAGCATTATTATTATGGCTAGCTGAGCTCAAGCATTCATCCCAACCCCTCATCCGCACCTGATCTCTAAATAGAAGAAAAAGCATGTTAAAAGCAAAGCGAAAATGGCTGCGATTTTAATCAGTTGTCAGAGCGAGAACATCCAATGTTTACAGCGTTGACCGCAGTTTTTCCAATTTGAGTTCTTTATTGTTTCATACTTGTAGACAAAAGTTTGGCAGACTGAGGAAGCTACTGTGTGCATTTACAATATCAGTTGATTGTGGGGATGGATATTTCCCAGGTCATGGCTAAGGAATCTTTTAGTCACCTTTACTTGGGAAAATTAGTTACCTTAGATGCCAAATACTTGTCAACTTAGATGTCAACTACTAAATTAGTGAATCCACCAATATAATAACTTATAGAAGGAATTACTTATTACCTGCACCAGGAAGCATTTCAAGATTGCAGTATAATTTTGACTTGTGAAGCTCTGATGGCTGTGCCTTTGTTGTTAGATTATTTTCTTTACTTAATCTGTACACCATCTTGATAGTCTCCACTTGTCATTATTACTATTTTATAAAATGACCAATATATATATAACATATTGTACCATTTTTATCTGAAACATTTCTGATAATGGGTTCATAATTTGTGGAACAAAATAAAAATATAATTTTATCACTGATTCTTGGTAACAGGTGGGTGTAATGATTAAGAAGTAGGATTAGAGGAGAGTTAGGTTCTAGTCCAGTGGTGGCAAACCTATGGCACACGTGCCAGAGGTGGCACTCAGAGCCCTCTCTGTGGGCACATGTGCCGTGCCCCGGAGATGGCGAGGGACTGGCTTCCACCACCCTGGCCCCGCCCACCCAGTCTGCCATGACCACCCGGCACCCGGTGATAAATAAGTGGGTTTTGGACCATCACTAGTCCATTTAGCTCCTTGAATAACTTTGGGACAGTCAATATCTTTCAGCCCAATATATTACCTGGAATTGTCGTGAAAAAAAGAGAAGAGAAGGGGTACACTGACCACAGCTTCTGAAAAATGTATTGTATCTTAAGCATTGTTACAAAATACAAAAATAGTTCTGCTGTAAAATAGTTCTGTTTTGATGCTTTTATTTTAAAATGTATTACCAACTCAGTATCTCTCAGCCTCAGGATATGATACAAGCAATAAAAATAACCCCCAACAGCTATGGATAAACATCATTGCAACATCATAAACAGGAAGTTTCATTGTCCTTATAAAATAAAAGACAAGATTGTACTAAATAAGACCAATCTGTTACTAATATTAGTTTCATTTTGGGCCAGTGATGACCTGGCTATTTACTGAAGATGTATGTGAAGATAATAAACAACCAAGCATGCCACTTCATGAGTTCAAACAATTTTTTTTGCATGAATTTCTATGTCTAATGATCTGTGAAGACTCTAGTGTGTGTTCTGCTTGAATTATAGGTAATATATAGCATTAATTACATTTGTTATGAAAACCATATATTTAATATTGTCATATACCAGTGATCCCTAACCTTTTTGGCACCGTGGACCAGTTTCGTGGAAGACAGTTTTTCCATGGACTGGGGGGGATGGTTTAGGTTTTGCTTGCTCGCCTGCTGCTCACCTCCAGCTGTGCTGTCCAGTTCCTAACAAGCCATGGATCAATATCATGGGGGACCTCTATCTTATACTATCCTTTCTCAACCTTAACTAATATTCTGATTTCCACTCCTAACAATTCTGTTAAAATATTGCAAATAAGAGCTTTAAAGCTAAACAAGTTTATAAATGTAAGTCTCCATGATCCAAATGTAGTAGCTGAACAAGGGGGAAGATTTGAATTAGGAAATAATTGTCACACACACTACACACATACATACATAAATCTACCTATCTCTATGTCTGTCTGTCTATCATGTACCGTCTATCCATTTCGGCATATCACATCCCGGAATGCAATCAAGATTGGGAAACAGATTTGGGAGAATAGGAAGATGACTGTACATTATTCTCAGTGAGACAATATAAACAATATGAAGAAAACTGATAAAGAAAAATGGGTAGAGGTTTTTTTTATCCCCAACCTATCCAGTTTAATAGGCATTTATTTTGTAGAAAGATGATAAGAATAACCAGGAATAATATTTTTTTTTAGTTACGTTTTGGATTTTTTCCTTAAATATTCAAACTGATTAAAGAAAGAAGGAAATCTATGAGATTGGAAAGAATTGCAGGAACTGAGTTTGTCCACTGATGGGAAAAAACATAGCTCTGCTGAGATGACGGAGTGACAGCTTCTCATGCATTATTCTTAAATAAATTAAGCTCAGACAGTCACGCAGCAGCAGTATTGCCAGAAGAGACAGATGCTGGAGGAGATCTAACTTGTATTACTAACTTCAGCCTCTGTAGCAACCTTAGGAGTGACTGCAGACAAAGGATATGTATACTCAGAGGTGAGTGGATATGATGCAGATCCTAATTCATTTCTTTTAACGGTGCTGATAATAAAAATGTTAAATTTATGTGCTGTCAGAATCAATCTTTTTTTAAAGATGCTTTTTAAATGAAGGCTGAGTTTTTAAAACAACAACAACAAACCACCATGATGTTGCATGATTTGTTTATAGGAACGATTAGAGGCTATGATGCGGCGTTCCGTGGAACGAAGTCAGCAGCTAGAGCAGAAACAGAAGAGGTGGTCGTGGGGAGGAGGACTGGCTGCAGGCTCAGGTGACAGAGATGGTGGGTGAGACTGGCTGCATTGCAGATTTTAAACTGAAATATTTGAGTTGAAAAGAAAGCTGCAGAATTCCTTCTCTGTATAGAATACTATAGAGTATGAGAAAGAGTCAGGGGCATCATTCATGAAGTATATTCTATGGCTTATTAAATTTTACATTCTGATTCTTTCTTGAAAGTTAGGTATGCCAGAGGATCAGTGCAGATAATGTTAGAAAAGAAATAAATTCCATTGAAATAAATCATTTTAATATCACTAGCCCTCAGCTGTGTATAACTTCGCAGCAAGTAATTTTTTTTTTATTCCAGATGCTCATAAAAGCTCAGGAGAGTTCTTCATGATTGTGCAGTATTTACAACAAAAAATGAATTATTCTCTTAGCATTTGCTTTGGCTGCTTTCTTTTTCTTTCAAAGCAAATAATTAAATCAACCATATTCTACTTTTTATGATTTTGAAAAAACATTTTTAATTCATCAGCTTTTTCCAGTAAATTTTGATCAAACAAAAATATTTTCTTTAATTATAAACAACACCTGAATAGTCTAACCCTTATCAAAACTAAACAATTTTGTATTACTATTTTATTGTAAAACTAGAGATAAATCACTAGGCATCACAAGGACAGTCTTGTAATGTTTCTGTAAACATACACATTAACATTCTTCTTGTATTATTGGGTTTTCATGCTTGATGTAATTATCGCCTTTTTTTGCTCTGGTTTTTTCCCCTGTGATGTAGGTGAATCAGAAAATGCCCCATCCTCTCTAGGTTTAGCTGTCAACACTCTTCTTCCAGACCCTGTGGTTTCCACTGCTTCTGCTGTTGCTGCTGAACCCTACAATGGTATTTGAGAGACTCCCAGTGCCATTGTATTGTTTATCACTATAACATATCCACTAATCTTGTCCTTCCTTTAATGGCTGTGTTCTCTGTTATTTCAGTTACAACTATAACAGCGTTCTTATTGGAAATTCAGGGCCAATTCTCCCAAGTGCTATTGTTGCCCTTTTTTCATTTAATAATAACATATCCCATTAAAATAAATGGAAGTTGTGCAGCAGGAGGGCTTGGTAAATTGCACCTAGGCACTTCACTGTATTTCTTTTTCAGTTCTGTCATAATGAGGTGAAGCATGCTCAGCATTTCAGCATCACTGATATTTCAAATATTTTTTTCCATTAGCATTTGACCTTTTCATCTCCTTTGTCCACCTGTGGGATCTGTGTGTGTGTTCATGTATCATATATGTGAGACTAGAGATGAAAAATGAGTAGAAACATAACTAACTGAAAATATTTCAGTTATACAGTATACGTAAGCATTAATGCTACTTTGAAGTAGAAATAAGAATAACAATTTCTTATTTTGTTGCCTCGTATGTACATTAAGTCTTCATATATTTAAATGGCTAGGTACAAACAGTTCATTTGTATCTCAAATTGCTTTTCAATTATGTATTTAGCTTAATTATTAAAATTAATTTGCATGTGTTTTTATGTGGAAGGTTGCCTGTTTAATAACATATATATAGCAGCTAAAGATATTTTTGTTCTTTTTGTCTTTCTCTATGCCGTATCAGAGCACATACTTTGAAAGAGGAAGTAGAACCGCACTGAATGACAAGCATTTTTAATTTTATTTTTGCTAATACATGAATATGGATCTCTAACCAGATAGGCCTATTTTGTATAGATTTCAGCAGAATTCAGAATCCCAGTCTTCCAAGGCTATGTCTGCCCATAGAGATTTCCTGCACAGACATAAATGTTCAATGTCTGGGTGTCATAGAATATAGAAAAGACACTGATCTGAAGTAATGGTTTATTTCAAAATATGACTTATACAGGAAGGGGTTCACATTGTTTCCAACATTCTCACCTTTGGAACGGTTTTTAACAATTATAGAGAGATATAGGAGTTTTATAACAAAAGAATAAAATCATGAGTCATAGCAGCATGAGTAAAAAGCAGAGGCTGTATAAATATGAGCTAGCTCCAATTGATTTTGGGGGATTAGATATGCTTAGAATATTTATTAACTTCACTAGCTTTTAGACTCATCAGAAATGTGGGGGAGTTTCATGGAATACTGTAGTAACTACATTTCTAGGAAGATATATGATTGGATTTAAAGTGGGGAATAAAGAATAAAAAGCTTCATGTTGTGTTAAAATCTTTTCGCCAGACACTATATAAGTGTTAAGATGTAGCCAATAGAGTATATCATTAACTGATTAAATACATCAGTATTTTGAGGTAATATTTGTTAACTGATTGGTTTTGCATAGGCAGATTTCAGATAAACAGATGAGAATCCAAATGAACTAATTTAAAGAGATGTGATTAAATTCTTCCTTTGACAGATATGAATGATGAACACTGTCAGGCAGAATGTGCCAGTGATTCTGCTTTATAGGAGCCTCTTGCATTGATTCTCAAGTTTCTTTGAAAGAGTATGAAGAAAATGCTGATTCCTTTCACTAGAAAATCTAAGAGATGATCACTTTGCAAATGGCTGATTACATACAGAGAGGCTCAAAAGAGGAAGGATGGTCTGCTCTGTTGAACAAAGGTTTAGGTCAGAGTTCTCCAACCTTTCCGGCTTGGCGGCCTAGAAGGAAAGAAAGCAGCAGGGAAATGTGTGTGCGCGCAGGCATGTGCAAACAGGCCTCTGGCACCCGCTTGACATCCCTGCGCATGTGCAAATGGGGCAGCTAGTGCCCATGTGGGAGTGCTACCGTGAATGGGACGGGGCTCGCCAGCTATTCCTGGGGCCTGGTGGCCAACAGGCCGTGGCCTGGTACCAGGCTGCAGATCATAGGTTGGGAACCCCTGGTTTAGGTGATTCAGGAGATAGAGATACTAGCTGTGGTGGTAAAAGCTATGTATCCCCTTATTAGTTTGAAAATATGGAAGGTCTTTCACTGTTTGAACAATAGATTGGAAAATTTTAAAAGTTTGGCTTCAATGGACATTCCTTCTCAATTTAACTATGTTAAATCAAAGGATTTCTGCACAACTTTTTGCAGTTGAAATTCATTATCAAAAACCTTATACTGTAGTGTAAAACTGAAATGTTGATTTTGTAAGAAGAAAACCTTAAAGTAAAGCTTACGATATGGCCAGACAGATGTGCTTTATTCTTTGTCCTGATTCATTCTAAAGATCCATGGTAACAAATTTAAAATGTTTAGCACTGTGGAATGAATATAAATCTCTTCAATGCGTCTCTCTGCAGCATGTGACAAACTTTCAGTTTCTACAATGAATCTGCCAAAGCAAATGGAATCGCCTATCAATAAACGTCTTTCCTCCTCCACAGCAACAATAACTTATTCCCATGATAAAGGCAAGTGAATGGGCTGCTCATTGTCGCTAGAAAAATATCTTCTCTTTTTAGTTCCAAGGCATTCCTTCCTCTTTTTCTGCTTTCCCCCCTCCCAGTTTTCTTCCTTACTGTTCTTTTTTTCAATCAGCTTTTTTTTTTGATAAAAAAATAGGACAAAAGTCTCTGATGCTGAAAACCTATCTTGGAAAACAAGATGCTATAATTAGATCATTAGTCATTTCAAAAGTTTTAATCACATTTTAAAGTATTTTTAGTTTATATCTGGTTCATAACAGTGGTAGTAGAGAATGTATGTCTTACTGAGCTATTGCTTTAAGAGCACCAGGTAGAACATGTCAACTAGGACAAGAGCTTTGCTGACTTGTCTTGACCAAGGGATAAGACAGACAGACTGTATATACATACTCATATACAGACACAAAAATACACACAAACTTTGTTACACAAGTGAACATGACCTACCTTGGGCCTGTCCTTTGGAGTCAGTATAGTTTGGATTTCAATCACAAAAAGCTGTACTAATGGAAGAACTATACTGAGGATTTTCCAATAGCTGACTTTCCCTTCTGACATTTTTTTTCTACCGGCAAAATGGCTTGAGAATATTTTCCTAACTCATTGCAACTATGTAGAAAGGAGGACAGAATTGTGCTGTAACAGTGGGGTTTTTTTTCTTAAGAAAAAAAACTCTGAAACGTTTTTAACTCCCATATATAACTTTATTGCTCATCTAAAATATTGTTACCATTATTACATCTGTGATATACTTTATACAGAAAAGAAGATTCTTCCAGTACTCGCGTACTGTTAAATATAATGCAAAATGACACTTGCTTTCAAGTAAAATATAAATAAAGTGTTGCATTTAGAAATAGATTCTTTTCCAAAATACAGGGTTTTATACAAGGCATTGCTTTCCATCTTAAGCCGAGTATAAATTGAGGATAATGGTGCCCTTCTTAAAGGACTGTAATAAGAATTGCAAGAAGGCATGAATATAAGCTTCAAATATTCTGAAGTGTTGTATAAGTTCTTAAAATGTTTGGATTCAAATTGTTCAGCCATTTTTATAAATAATGTTAAATAATATAAAATATTTTCTATGTAGTTAGAAAATGCTTTTATATTGATAAATATAAATGCTTTTATATTAATTAATATAACAAAAAGAACTAAATGCTCAATTATTTTATTTGTGGGACAACTTTGCATAGAATGTGAACAAGGATTTTGTTTTAAACCCTTGCTTTCACACGATGATTAGGTCCCTTCTATGGACAGTTGGCACCTGATAACCAGGCATCTTTTCAGGAGTTAGGATTCAGATGTTCCTTTCCAGTGAAGATTTAAGTGAAGTAACACCTGAAATAACCATAACTGATTAGAAGAAAGCAACTAATAATATTTTCATTGTGATATTATTTGTGCTTGATTGCAAGACTGGTCAGTTTTTCCAGTAGTTCTAGTGTTGAGGCTAGTGTATAAATTTAGTTTGTATATATAGTAGCAGGCTGAATAGAGACTGCATGAGCTCTGCTCATGGTACATGCTAGACAAAATATATTTTGGAAAGATCTCAACTCTTGAAAACTTGAGAGAAAAGAGTAACGAAATGAGAGGAAGAATTTGTGATACAGATCTTTTTTGTATATATATGATGCAAATTTGGATGTCTCTAAGTCAGTGGTGGCGAATCTATGGCACGCATGCCAGAGGCGGCACTCAGAGCCCTCTCTTTGGGCACACGTGCCATGCCCTGGAGATGGCAACCGTCCCTCTTCAACCAGCTGCCCACTAACTCGCTGAGGTCCCACATGGCCAGATGTATCCCAGCACCCATGCACTCACTGGCCTCTGTGTGCAGGGGCCGATGGTGTCAGGCAGCAGCCGTCCCAGCCCCTGCCTCGCCTTGCCCTCCGACAATGGCACCCCCGCCCTGCCTCGCCTCACCCTGCAGGACAAGCTTCCTGCCCACCGCCCCACCCACCAGAGACCCCCTGGATCTCCCCCAACCCTGCCCAACCCCCACAGGCATCCCTCCCCACGAGCAACATCGAGATGACCACACTCACCTTGGCCATACCCACCCAGTCTGCCATGACCACCACAGCCATGCCCACCCAGTGGGCCACGCCCACCTGGCACCCGGCGATAAATAAGTGGGTTTTGGGTTGCAGTTTGGGCACTCGGTCTCTAAAAGGTTCGCCATCACTGCTATAAGTCTTGCATTTGAGAATAGATGTAATAAATTCAGATTGCTCATCCCCGATAACATTGGATAGTTATTAATGTGTAATTACAGTAAAGGACTTAGAAGAATATGTCAGTTACTGTTGACAATATTTACTTTTTCTTTCACCATCTTCAAGAATTTAAGTATGCAATTATAGGCACTTTTTATTTTCCACTGATTTTTATGGAACGTCTATCTAAATATGCTTCTTGCCTAATCCTGTGCACCTGATTTCACTTATGTGGTGACTATGTAATGATTTTGTGCTGGTTGAGTTGAAATTCAGTCTTGTGCATGTTGTTTGTTCTCAAATCATCATTTTCTTTTCTATTTTCTGAGAAGTTTTCACCAATAATTCTTCACTTATTGTTAACTGTGGCTAAAGCATGCTTCGTTTGGTCTTCACATATAACTGAATTCTAAAATACATACAGAATTTGCACTATAGCATGCTTGCTGTTACCATGCCAGTGGCAAAACTCACACTGAAGAATTCTGTATGTTTTGAGAGCACTAATAAAAATGGCAGAATATAAAAATTGAACAAAACATAATTTGAATATTTTGTACTAAATAAAGCAGATTCTTACATTTAAATTTAAGGCCCAGATAAAATAGCTCTCTCATGTTCCTTATTGATCACTTATGCTTAGAATATCACACAAAAGTATACTGATCTATAGACACAAATTTCAATGTATCTATCAAAGATGATAGATTTTATATTGTAGATAGGATCTTAATTGGCTGACCATAAAATTATACTTTTGACTATTGTTTCATAAATTCAATTCAGGGGAAAAACAGTCAATCCTTTTTAATAATAAAGTATTTTACCATGTTATGTCTAATACTACCATGCTAACACAATATTGACCAAAACCTAATGTGGTTTACACCATGAAAACTTCTTTGTGGAAGAATTAAATCAAAGGTTTGGAACTTTAAAATATGTTTAGCTTTATTTTTGGTTGTAATTGTTTATTTCTTTTGTACATCTTGTTTATTCATTTCTTATGTTTAGTTGCACATTTTAAAAGTGGTTATTTTTTATTTTTTATTTGCTTCCATCCTTCAGCTCATCGCATGCATCTTAGTCCAATGGAAAATTTTATCATTTCTCGACTATTGACTCCTACACATGCTTCTTTAGCCAGAAGTAGAAGTACTTTAATGCTTTCTGAGAGGTATACTGATTCAGGTAAAGCTAATATTTTCAGGAATATTTTAGCCACTTAAAACAAATTTTCCCATAAAATAGTAAATTTAAGGAGTCTAGAAGATTATTGATAAAATACACAGGGAGTTGATGTTAACCCTAAATAAAGGACTTAAAATGATTCATCTAGCCAGTGAAATTTTCATAGCTAAAACTATATTGGGATGATAGGTCTGTTTTCAACCTTATAGGTTTATTTTTTTAGGTTGTTGTATGTATTTCTGACTTTACTAATCTATAGCAGTAATTTATTAGAAAATGAAGAATTTTGAATGACCCAATCTTAAACACTTACAAATAAAGTGCTTGTAAGCTTAATGTTAAGTTGCTTGAGCAAAGATGTTATGGCTGTTTAAAATGGGAAGACAATTCAATGTTTTGGGAAAGCATGCGTTTGGTTGTTTCTAATAAAATGATGCTGTTTCTTTCCTCTTTTCCTTGCTTTCTTTGTCTGTGTCTCCTAATGCACTTGCTATTGTACTATAACTCTTTAGTATTCCATATCTGTCCTCGTGTAGCACCAGCCAGCCCTCTTAAAACTTCTTACAAGCCTTCCCACACTCGAGGTGTGGAGAAAAAGAAAGCAGCATCTGCTTCCATATCAGATTCAATGAAGGGAGCAAGTACAAGTGAAGTCTCACAGGTAGGTTTGAAAATTACTAATTCATACCTTTTTTAAAAATATATTTATATGTTGGTTTATATTTTGCTTCCCCAGGATAAATATACAAATACGGATCTCTGCTTTCTTTTCTCCTATCTTGCACTAATAAAAATGTTAAGAAAAAAACCTTATGCTATGCATTCTTGCACTTGAAATGAAGTGTTAGTATTTTGGAGATCTTGCTTTTTTAAATTATTGTTCCCTAGATATTTAGACATTCATAAAAGTGAATGTTGCATATGGGCATCCCATCCCACCATCAGAAACGGTAAAATATCAGAGATTAGTTTCTTTTTCTTATTGTTATATTATTCCACACATACTGTATAACACTGCTATGGTTTCTCATATTTTGTACCAATCATTCACTGATAACAATTTTGCCATTTATTGATACTTCACCATTAGAATGTAATACTGAAATTATATGAATATTTTAACTGTTGATTAAAATAGTACAAAGGCTATTGTTACACTCAGATTCCACTTGTAGGCTTCTGGTTTCCTCCTCTGAGAAGGGAATACTTGACTAGATTAATGTTTGTTTAGATAATTACATTTGTAGGAGCTTCAATGAAATAAATGAAATATAAAGTTTAATTGTACATTGTTTATTTATTTTTAATTAATTAGGCTGCCTAATTCCAATGTGACTCTGAATTCATAGAATATTAATTTAAAAATACAAAATCATAAGCTCTTTTTTCTATATAATTTTTATTAAAACAAGAAGATAGAAACTAATGCAAATCTAGTATAAAGTAAGAAAGAAAAAAGCAATCAAAGCAAAAAATACAATAAAAGAATTGAAAAAAAATAAGAAAGAAAAAAGATATATATCTTTGTACATATTGAACTTGCCACAGTAATCATATATTGAAATAATCATCCCTGGCTTTTTTCTATTCATTAATCCTAAAAGGAAAAGTTGTGGTTTCAATTGAATATTGATCTTTAAAATCCTCTATATCAAAGTGTGCATTTGAATCCATTTTTTAGCTTTTTTACCAGTCTACCAAGCATGATAAAATGTCACAAAACCACAAGCTCTAAAATAAAAGCCATGTACCATGCAAAGAACCCACACCTATTCTAGTCCAATGATAGGCTAGAAATTAGGTTTTAAGGAAATATTTTGAACAAGTCAAAGCTAGACAAATTTCTGGGAAAGAATGTTCTTCCACAGGGCAGATGCTGCAACAGAAGACACGTTTATTAAGTCTCATCATATGGCACTGTTTAAGAGATAGGACCAGAAGCACGCCAACTCTGTCTGATCATACAGGATGAGTAAAAACTATGGAAGACAGAAGATGGTTCATATAACCAGACCCTATGAACAATTTTTAGGTAATAATTCAGATCTTGAATTGTACCCAGAAGCTTATTAGGATTCAATGCCGCTCATGAAGCAGTAGTTTTACTTACATAACTGCCAATATTGCTTTATTCTGAACCAGCTGCAACTAACAATTGCTTTCCAAGGGCAAATCCATGTAGAATTGCATTGGTTTAATGTAGGGTTTGTAAATAGCCAAATCCATGTAGAATTGCATTGGTTTAATGAAGGGTTTGTAAATAGCCATCTTGAAAGTTTTACTTAAACATTGACCCCTCAAGATGAGCTGTAGTTTGCACTTCATTTTCATAAAAGTTCAAATGAATCATCAAGTCCAGTCTCCTAGACATTTATTGAGGCAACCCAGAATCTAATGTTAGCCTTAACACAGATCTGCTTAGCCATTGGTGGAAAACTGGATAAATTGCAATGAATAAAAAGGAAGAAAATGTGCTCCTGTTCTTTTTCTTTCTGTTCTTCCCATGGCTTGTACATCTAAGACATAAAACCACTGTTTATATTGAACAAAATAGGCAGCAAAATACCTTGACTCGTTATCTTTCTCTAACCGGGAAATTGTTAGGCACAGGAGTTGCAGCTGTAATGGTAGCAGGTCTCTACAGTACTAGAAAATTGCTTGCATATACAGTAATAGTTAATTCTTTTCCATTTGTTGGACTACTTAGTTCATCATTTGGGAACTGGTTCATTTGGATTGCTACTTAATTCTGATACTGTGACAACTATTGCAAATCTCATATAGTCAAAAGTAAATACCCTGATAACCAGATTGGTTCCTTAGCAAAACAACAATAAGGTGGAAATTGTTCCTACTATTCAAAAGAGAGAGATATCATTGCTTCATTTGGGTAGGAGAAAGAGGTACAAATTCAAATGTTAGTTTCACTATAAATAAGACTTGTATTTGATGCACAGCAGTTATACTTACTTTCAAAATGCTTCATAACTAAATATTTCAGTTCACAGTAAATCTATTTTTAAGTTTTTGAATCTTTGGAAACTATTCTGTAAGGGTTTTTTTTCTAATTAGCTAAAATATTGAAGCAAGACACTGGTAGTTTAGTGAGCTGTCTGTGGAATTGCTGGAGTGTTGTAGTCATTGCGTAGATCCTTCTCTAGCTGTTTTTTCTAGAGTGATAATGGTAAGGAATGAAAACAGAACTGAAAGGATTCCCAAACTGGGTATCTTCTGACAATGCACACTTGGCTTGATTTCTCAGCTTGACTTGGCATCAGACTAACTGATGCAGCTTGGCTTGATTAAAATCTGTATAGCAAACAAGAATGAAGACACAATACATGATTGCCCACTGGGAGTATAAAGGACTTGGCTTCAAGGACTCAAGGTTTCTTCCTTCACAATTAATGAATGCTTGACATGGTCTTGCAGGCTTGGTTTTGGTATTATACGCACAAAGGAAAGTTAAACAGTTCTTAAAGCTCAGAGTTTGGACAGTGAATATACAAATTTCAAACTTGTGTGATATTTCCTTATGCAAAAGGCAGGTCTGTGTCCGTATATTTATATAAGAATCTGCATATGTGTTTGTTTGTATCTACATATACATGCTGAATAATTGTTTGTCTCAGATTATCAAATTATATTATCTTTTTTAAGAATGAGAAGAAAAAGAAACAATCAACAACACCTGGCACATTATCTGGTTTTGGATCTCCTCTTAAAAAATCTGAATGTCCAGCAGTTGTATCTAAACAATCAGCTTCACCTGCAACTCCAAAGTAAGAATGTTTTGCAAATTCTCATGTCGTCTGAGTAAGCTTAAATATATGCAGTTTTTATTTTACAGTGCATTGTTTTCATCATGCAGAGTAGAACATGTCATCTTTCTCTCTGCAGAAATGATCTGCATTCTTGTTGCCCAAGTTTATGCTTGATAGATTTATACTGAGAAAATAGCAACAGCAGTACTAAGCAGATACAGGTGCTATTTCTAGTTTTGGCTCTACAAATGTAAGCCAAACTATATGAGGTAACACCTGGAGCTTGCCAGTGAGAATGTCCTGACTCCCAAAAGTATTCAGCCACCTTGCTTAACAAGGGTCTTAAGATCCATTCCATCTGATAGAAGTCAAATTTTCCTTCTTCAAAATGACACTGGTGGTTGCAGTTATATTTAAAATAATGCCTCATTTCATTTTCTTCTTCTGTCCATGATTGCTTTAGCCAATCTCTCAACCTTGCCCTTGTCTCCCAAAATGTTGCCATTGAAATTACTGGTTACTTTCTCATCATCTTGTGTCCTTGCTCACATGTATACTCATGACTGAGGTCTGAGGCATGCTGTTATGTGAGCATAATAATCTCATTTTGTAGGACAGCATTAGCCTTATTGGCCCCATTAAAAAGGACTGTTATAAAAAATGTAACTCAATGTTTTCATCTCAGTGTGCTTTCCTCCCTTAATAAGCCTGTTTATATGTAATTTCATCAGAAAGCTGGCAACTTGTTAACTTGCTCATGATTTTGTTTGAGTGCATACTGCAAAATATACAAAGTAGGTATGCCAATATGTAGAAGCAAAAGAGTACAGAAGTTAGGTTTAGAGCAAAATTTCTCAGGAGACAGGTGTCAATTTTGTCAACAACTAAGACTTCCTCAGAGATGAGAAATATAAGCACTGAAATTAAACTAGAATGGGGATAAGTGGAATTGCATCTTTGAGTAGACAGCACATTAATGGCATCTTTCAACTATAGGATTTGGATTCTTACTTGCTTTGTGTTAAGAGATCTTTACTGAAATTCAGAGGTGGCACATGGTTGTGGTTAAAGTGAAGAAAGGAAACATCGGAAGGGTAGGAGACATGTTGGGCATTCCCTTCTTTAATTCAAGGGCACAGCAGTGGTCCACTTTAGCTATTGTCACAGATAACATTGCCTTTTTCCCATTTTCCAAATGCCAGAACCTGCCTGCTTGGACCAAACCTGGGTGTTTGGGATCTGTACCAAACACCTGAAGTGGTTATTGTGTGCACAGGATTCTTCCTTAATTATGTTTATAATTAGTTCAATTAGTGCAGTTTAGTGCAACTAATCCTATTATAAGAAGATAACTTTGAACTATGTTATACTGTATCGAAAAGATAACATAGAAGCAAAATTGTGTAGATGTGCAATTGGCCTTAAAGAGTAGAAAAATATGGTTTTTAACCTTTCTAGATACCACACAAATATCACTTGGAATCCCCTTTAACCATAGTTTCAGAACTGACTTGCAAAGCTGATCCGTGGTGCTTCAATTAGAAAATGACCTATTCAGTACCAAGATTGCATGAATTAGCCATGAAATCCTTTAGATTTTCCCCCCTAATGTTTTTCTTCAATATAATCTTAAAACAAACAATGCAAACAGACTAATAATTTATGTATATTCTGTTTTTGATATATTAATACGAAGGAATGCTACTTCATGCATAAATAGCTTTGATAAGAGATGTTTTGAATAAATTTTAAAAAGATAGATTGCTTCATTCCCACATCTTTATTTTTATCCTCTCCCTCTCTCCCCCCCTTCACACATACACATACATAAACACAGATGCACATTTATAAAATCTAAGTAGAAAGACATGCTATATTAAAACAAAAAATGGCTCTGCTATCAATAAATGATAGATAGATGACAAATAGGACAGTATGTGTGTATGTATTTGCTTAATATTGGAGCTGTTTTATATATTAATAGAAAAATGCCAATAAACATCTAAAACAAGTTTACAGGGTTAATCCAAGAATTTATCTTGTAGCTCATTTTGGATTTAAATGGTTGCCACTTATCAGACCTGTTTCCAGTTAAAGTTAGATATTTAGTACTTTCAATATATTCAGCAATGTTTTCACCTGAAATAACTAATTATCAGGCTGCATCCCCACACAAATTATATTTAAAGAAATTTTTATAACTAAGTGGATATAAACCCCATAATTGTATATCTGTCACAAATTCAATGTTTATCTCTTTAGATTATTGATTTTATTAATGATGTTAATAGTCATGGTATAGCCAATTGTTTCATGACATTGTAATATTGTTTTATCTGTTCTTAAGTGAATTGTATATAAAATCTGTATCTATTCTGTGTTGTCTTTTTGTAAAAAAAAATACAAAACCAGCTCAATTCTATCTTCCCTTGTGCTATTTTTTAGCTTAATGTTTCATTCATAACCTGATATAAAAGACTGAGAAAAACAGTCAAGGCTATGATTAATTATTATTGACTTGATTTTGTTTATAAGGCAAAACTGAATTATTTGAAATCTATGTTTTAGATCAGTCTCAAAGACTTATCCACAGTCTCCCAAAATTAATAAAACATATCCAGCTTCTCCTGTGAAAAATCGTACAACTTCAAACTTGAACCAAGGAACTCCTAAAAAAAGGACAGCAAAAGTTAAAGACAGTCAGCGGGAAAATATTAGTCAAAAAATTCAAGCATCACCAGCTGAAGCTGTAAATCAGTCTAGTGCTGAAAAATCTTCTATAGGAAAAATGGAAAACACTGAAGGTAGATTCTCATTTAGCTCAGTTGAATATTATTTTACATGATTAGTTCTGTCACTAATATTTTGGGGGGAGGGAGGAGATGTTAATTTAAACTTTACCATCAATAATTATTTTGTACTATATCCCTAAGAAATTATTCACAGAATTTTGCTAAAGAATGTAAACTATGCAGATAGCATCTAGGAGATTAACATTAATTAAAATCAAGAATGCATATTTATAAATATAATACATATTTCTGACATTTCATTGACTAGAAAATTCAGCCATCAGGATAATATTGTGTGCCTTTCTATTGCACATATAACTTGTTTCCTGCCTGCAGACTAATATTCAATTCAAGAACATATTTTTAGGGAAACATGTAGCAGGGACTACTGATGCGGAAGAAGCAACTAGAATTCTAGCAGAGAAGAGACGTCAGGCTCGACTTCAGAAAGAACAAGAAGAAAAGGAAAGGCAAGAAAGAGAAAAACTTGAGAGGTATCCTGCTCTCCCTATATTAATAACTATAACCTCTTAGCTGTCAGATGCAGACATGTGCAAATTAAGAGTATGTACTTCACATATTTAATTAGAAATATGCAACACCTCTCTTTATATTCTTCTAGTTCTGTTACCTTGTTATTTGGAACCAGTTCTTAATGATATATTAAATAGAAGAGAACATAAATGTACTCCCAACAATATATTGTGGTGTTTTGAAGGCTAGAAAAAGAAGAGCTGAAAAGAAAAGCAGAGGAAGAGAGGACTCTACTGGAAGAAAAGGCTCATAAAAGAGAAGAGGAAAGGAAATTGGAAGAGGAATTAGCAAAAAAAAAAGCAGAAGATGAAACAAGAAAAAGAGCTGAAGAAGAACGCAAACTGAGAGAAAAGCAAGAAAAAGAATGGCAAGCTATGCTTGAGATACAGGTATGGTGATCTAATGGTTCAGAGCATGTAGTTTTCTTTATTTTCAAGGTGCAACATTTAATATAATGAATTGAATGTTCAGAGCTGTTGTAAAATATAATGAATCCAGATGAAGAATCTATATTTTCTTTTAATTTTCCTTTGCTTCTGTAAATACTGCATATACCTTATCCTTAGGTATATGATGCATAAAATCTTTTTATGTTTCATATCTGTGTTTACTTAATACTAGAAATGGAATATTGCAGTTTGGATCAAACTATATAGTGTGATGCAGACTCTGAAGGTAACAGAATGGAATATATGAGAAGTTATACAGAAAACACTGAACCTTTGATATTATTTGCATTCCTCTTTAAATGACAAGTTGTCTTAATGCTACCAAAATGTCCATGCCTGGATACAGTTCAAATGTCTGTCTTTTGAAATTGCCTTGACAGATCAGACCTTATGTTTAAATGTTTTAATCCTAATCCTGTTTTAATTGAATCAGTAGGCAAAGACTACAGTTTATACATTAGAGGACACATTTTCCCTCTCTGGCTTCTTCAGGTTAAGCCATAGAAGAGTCTCTGCTTTCCGTTGTGCTATATTTTGGGGGAAACTAATGGCACAGATATGTGTATTCCCTATATGCAGTAATTACCAGGCAGGTAATGGGAAAATGTTCATTATTTTCACAAATGTTTGTGTCAGTGCTCACAAAGGTATGTACATAATGCTAGCAGAGAATTTGAATCTAATTCTATTTCAAAAAAATTAACAAGAATTTTCATGAGTCTGGGTTGCAAGCCCAACGCCCATTCCCCTGCAATTTTCCTATACAGGATATTGTTTCACCCCATCTAATTCACTCCCTCCCTACATTGAGGAATGCAATGGGATTTTGAGGGGGTAATTCCCGAAGAGACTCTGAGATAGTGATAGAACACAGAATGCGTTTTGATGGACACGTGCTCCACGTAAGTGAGCAACATCCAGCAAACACCACAATCAATTGAGTATCACCAAATAGAGAAAAAGAGGAAAGCTAAAGAAAACCTGGCACCAAACATTTCAGGAAGATCTGAAAAACCAACATTAAAAACATCAGTCTTAAATGGAAGGATACGGAGACTATTGCTTCAGACTGAAAATTGTGGAGTATGCTTGTAGCCCAATGTGCTTAACACAGGATCATATTAATAATAATAGTAATAATAATAAGTTTTAATTATTAATTAATAATTAAATAAACAGTAGTAATAGAAGCCCTTGGAGCAATACCCAAAGGGTTGCTTAGATACAGTACATGGAAATTTTGAACTTATCAGACTTGAATATTCTGACTTTGCAAAAAACCACCTTACTTGGAACAGCCTATATCAGGGGTGTCAAATTGCTGGTCCACGGGCCGGATACATCACCAGGAAACCGCGCCCACCCCATTGCCAGCAATGGGGAAAAAGCTCTGATACGTTGTGTGACCTCGTAAGTTTGACATACTGTACTCAGACGTTACCTTAACAGCTCTTAGGTCCTTGGTTAGGACTTGAACTGTTAAGTTTTTACCAGTACCAGAGTGTGAATCAAATTGAAAATTAAATCTTTAATAACAACAACTTGTTGGCTTATATTTAATTAGAAAGAAGCAGCAGAAGCTAAAGCACGAGAGGCAGCTGAACATTTACGTTTAGAAAAGGAACAAATTATGCAGCAGATAGAGCAAGAAAGACAAGAACGAAAGAAGGTAACAATTTTATTCAAATCAAATCTTGTTGCATTGTTATTTTACATTGTTCCATGACTATGCGAAGGCTGCTGTAAGAAAGGAGCTGTCAACTACAAAAAATACATACGATTTAATTACATTCTCAGTATGAAATGCAATAACTAAATTACAAGCTCTTTTCAGAATTAATTTTTTAAAGTTTACTAGAACTATTAACAATTGTGTTATTTTCTGCATCTTACAAAAAAATGCAAAGCTGGAAAAAATTATGCATGTGGTAATTATAATTGTAATTAATTTGGTAATAGAAGGGTGTTGGCATTACTGATTTGACCATTTTATTATTGTTATATACTGTACATAATCCCTATGTTGCCTGGGGAGAGGTGGAAATTTTAAAGTAACATTTACAAATCATTATAGTACTTCCACCAAATTAGAACTAAAAGAAGGCATGCTAGAGATGCCAATAACAATTGGAGCTTTTTGGAAGAGGTGCCAAGAATATAAATAACAAATAGTGATGGCTTTATGATCTGATTATATGTTTGTAGAATCCTGTACATTAATTCAAAACTTTCTGGAAAATGACATTTTTTTCCACATCATATACTTCTTTAATCTCATTAAATGAGGAAAGCAAACTTTTTTCTCTCATTTCAGCGAATAGATGAAATAATGAAAAGGACAAGAAAAAATGAAATAGCAGAAATCAAGGTATTAGAAAAAAAGTTATTTTAATAGAAAATGCAGAATGTTGTAATCCGGTTCATCCAGAAATCCTCATATTATTCCCCAATAGAATGACTAGATAATTTCTTTCTTGTCTCTGTTGTACGTATTCACTGTAAAGGGAAGAGTTAAACTGTCTTAGGGCTATAATGTTTAATATATGAAGTAACTTTCTTCCTTATAAGTGGGAAAATAAACTGTGAAGAATTGTTTTAGGATGACAGATGATAATGGGAGGAAAATCAAAATTCTTCCTTTGCTGTTTTTCCCTTCCAAATCAGTCAGATTATGTATGGGGATGAGTTGTGGCTAATTCTTACTTGTCCAAGGTGTGCTACTTTCCTTCAATACAACTGATTTAATTTGAAGTTCTTTTCAGTATTATATAGTCAATGCATAATAATAAAATTGAAAGCTATTGGCTAAAAAACCTGAATACATACTTCTTTGTTGATTGTGTTATAATTTTTTTTTCCAACAAAATTTTTATTGGTTTTTATTTAACATGGTGGCGAGGCCATCAATTAATCAAAACAAAATCATACAATTCAAATTATTTCAATATAATTAACTCAGTTATACGTATACATAATCTATTATTATTTTAATGTATCCTACTTCCCCCTTAAGTCAATACTATTAACTCTATTTCTATACTCCCTCCCACCCCCATCTCCCCCTAACCCCCCCAGACTTCCCAGAACTGATTACAGGGTTAAGCATTCATCTTCCCAAGTCTATATAAAACTACCCAATATAAACTAATCTAATATAAACATACTTTAACTCATAAAAAGATAATCAAATATAAGCTAGTATAATCTATCTAAATATAGCTAATCCATCCTCTCCAATCCCTTAATCATACAAGAAACTTTGCCATATCTTCAATTTATCAATTATATATAATACATTCCATCACCCCTACAATTATATATAATATATCATCACCCCTACAATTAATACCATAATCAAATATTTATTATCTTTTAAAATAATAAGAAAAAAGGATATATCAGTTTTATTAGTCTAAACCATTTTTTTTCTCTAAACAAAACCTTATTTAATTTCATTACAAGATAATAAACAATAATGTATCTCCACTGCTTCCCTTGATATACAATACTATAATTTTCCATGTATAACTATTTCTTTAAAATTACATCCCTAAGTATTAGTTAATCATATCAAAAGTAACATCTCTTAGCCACTAAAATTCAGAAACCCCTTGTAATTCCACAATTCCACCGATATACCCCATTTCCTCCTCCATGAATTCTTTAAAATTAATCCCTTAATCTCTCAAACAAAAAAACCTGTATAATTTCATTACAAAATACTCTTAAGAAATAAGCAATAATATCCCCCAACTGCTTCCCATGAGATGCAATACTATAATTTTTCATTTCTATAAGTATTTCTTTAAAATTACATCCCAAAGTCACAGCTAAGTCCATCATTGCCTCTTCTCTGTATCCTTGTAAATTTTCTTTAGTTGTTTCCAATCCAGTTTCCGCTTTTGCAGCTATTTCTTCCACTTCTCCCTCCTTCCATAAAGAAAAATCCAAATCTTCCTCTTGAATCATTTCCAGTCCAATTTCCACTTTTACAGGCTCCACTTTTTCCTCCATTCCGACCTCTATGTAATCTGCAGTACCATACGAAGCAGATATTATATTTCAAAACCTTTTATAAATCTTCAAACGAAGCCATCGGTGAGGATAAAGAGATGAATTCAAAATTAGACTGTTGAAAATCTTTAAACAAAGCGGAAGTTCCATTAAACAAAGCCATTTTTCAAGCTTCTTTAATCCAAGCCTCGGAGAAAAAAAAAAGGGGGGGGGGAGAATCCAAAATCCAAATCCAAAATTCTCTCCATTAAAAGAAAAAAAAATTTAGTCACCAAAACTTTCCATAAGCCCCAAAAAAATATGTCAATGTTTCAATCCTAAGCCAAGGGGTAACAATTTCCCTCTTCATTCAGCGCTACAGGAAAGTGAAAGTTAAAAAGGAAAGTCACTCTCATCTATAGAAAAACGGCAAACCGCAGCCATTTTTTTTCCTCATTTCAACTTAACTTTCAAGAAGATGTTAATAAATTGAGTTAAAGTCTTAAGTTGCTCAAGTCCAGTTTCCCCTGGTCAGTTCCGTCCGCTTATTATATACTCACAATTCTCTATAATTCGCAGAAGTGGAGGCAACGACTGGCTTTGTTCCCAAAAAAAGGGAACAAAGGCGCTTGGGAGATGGAGATTTCCCGGACTCCGGGGGAGTACCCAATTTCGCTCTCCCAAGATAAAGGGAGAGCTTTGGGACTCTACTCCTATCCAGGAATACTCACCTCGACCCCTTCACCCGGGGCACAAGGTTCCAAGCCGCTGAACAGCTGTTGGTCGCTGTTCATGCTGGCTCTGACGCCTTCCCATGCGGCCGGCTCTAAAAGAGCCGCCATCGGCGCGCCGTCCCACTGGAAGTCCGATTATGTTATAATTTTTTTAAGAGAACTGATGAGTTGAGATACAGTACTGGATTCTTTGGTTATATATGTAGTATATATATTGTAGCTATATATAGACGCATAAAGGACTTCTGAAGTATAAGACAAGAGCTCTGTTATTCCTACTCCTCATATCACTCCTTATTAATCTTAGCTTTAAATATATAATAGTGGTAAAACAACCTTTCTTTAATTCCAGTCAACATTGTCAGCCTTTCTATGTAGAATTATAATTTTAAAAATTTAAAGTTATCTGATTGAAGCAGTTTTATCTAGCCCAGGGGTAGGCAACCTTGGCTCTTTTATGACTCATGGACTTCAACTCCCAGAATTCCTGAGCCAGCATGGCTCAGCTTGGAAACTTCTCCCTTTCCCCTCAGCATAGCTGGCTCAGGAATTCTGGGAGTTGAAGTCCACAAGTCATAAATGAGCCAAGGTTGCCTACCCTTGATCTAGCCCCTACCCCAGTTCTACCTTTATTTCATGCCCCTAGTGGCTAGGAGGAAAAATGTAGGATGATTAAAGAGTGTCCCTAATGCAACCCTATTTTTGTGGACCAACTTCAGGATTTATTTCTGCAAAGAAATTGAAGACTTGGTAGCTTAGTATAGTTCCAGAAAATACTCTGGCCGTTTTGGATTAAAATTGCTTCCCTCTAAACCTGGTGATAATCAATAACAGAATATGCTACATTGTCCATGGTACATTTAAGTGAGCTAGGTGACTAATGACAGATAATGTATTGGTGTTGTTTGTTAAAGATACTATTAGTTCATCTTTTACTGGCATTATTATGTCTATGTTCCCTTTAAAATCATATTATGATTCATCACACATTCAGCCACATGTTTAAATTTGATTTGGCATTTTTAATCCACCTATCAAATTCTTTCTAAAGATGTGGAATAATTATTATTAAAATGTATTACAACTGCCCAACTGCAATAGACTCTGGACAGTGTACAAAATAAAAAAAAATAAAAACAGATAAAACCTAACCCACACAGCTCAGACTAAATCTAATAATCTAAATCTAATTTAAACAGTTAAAAATGACACAAATCAGAACAAAACAGCCCTCCTGACCCCCCCAAAATAACAGCAAACCGTTAGCCTGGAACCAAACCATGTTTTAAGAGTTTTCTAGAAGCCTGGAACAGAGTGAGATAATTTTTTTAAAGACATTTATTACAATAGCAGATAACATTTAAACCCTATTGAACTCTGCCACATATTTAATTTGAAAAGGATTTATATCTAAAAGGATTTATATCTAATGCATCTATGCATTATATGCAATGTAATTGTATGTACTGTGTTTGATGATAACAGAAAGAAGATACAAAATCAGATGAGCCAAGAATCTTGAATGTGGATCAATATCCCAACTCACTTACCCTTAGTCAAGCAGGTAAAATGTGTAATTTTGGTCACACCTGCATACTAATAATCACTCAAAATCCATACCTTCATGAAAGGTGTTGGTTTTATGCTTTCTCATCATATATTCACAAAGCTGAATTTAGCTTATTTAGGATGTTATTCTAGGACCTTACTCTGTAGCTTTCCCATACATACTTTGTTTACTGTTTGTGTTGTTTTTCATTGTTATGTCTACCTTTCTTCTTCATTTTTGAGTTTCTCTTATTGTTCGGGATTTGGTAGTGCATGATGTAATTTTAATAAGCAAACCATCAGCCTTGTTGGGTTTTTTTGCAATACCAAGGAGAACTGTTACTCTTCTCATTTGCTACAGTAACCAGAATTTATGCAACTCAGAGATGTTTATGTGTTCTCCTGTGTAGGGGGGGTGGTCCTTCTCAACTCCAAGAAACAGTGTACTAGAGGAACTGTGGCATATTTTCATGTGGAAGTGTGTGTGTATATGTGTATGCATACACACACAAAAATGATAAAAATGAAGTGAAGTTATTTAGGCAGTGGGTGCTGTAGTTGCAATGTTTCCAATCTAAACAAGAAACAGTAACCCAGTTGTATTGCTGGTTAGTCCCCTGAGACATTTGGGGCATCTGGCAAGCAAAGAAATTATGCTTTGCAAAAATTCAGAGCACAAGAAACAGTGCTACCTACCTGCTCTGGCCAGTAATGATCTGTTTCCTAAAAGATATACCCAGAAAGTAGTCTTCTTCCTGGTTTAGTTTGATTAAATGAGGAAGATATTCTAGATCAGCTCTGCTCCTCCTTATAGTGAGTTAGGACTCAGTCTGCACATTGTTATTTAAGTAATATTAGTATGCATGTATGGGAAAAAGTGAGGGAAAAATTATTTGATTCCTGCTTATTTTGTACATTTGCCCACTGACAAAGGATCAGTCTATAATTTTTTTTATAATATTTTTTTAGTTTTCTAATTTTACAACAGAAAACATAAACCAAGAAGAAGGGGCTAAAGGGAAAGAACAGAGACAAACTAGAACAACTAAATCCTAAATATAATTGAAGAAGATGGAAAAGGACAATGGGATACTCTCAATAAATATAAATGGATTAAATTCCCTCGTAAAGAGGAAAAAACTCTTTACATGATTACAAAAATTAAAAATGGATATAGTTTGCCTACAAGAAACACATATTAAAAGACAATATTATAAATCTCTGGAGTGCCTGAAAATTGGGAAACTTTATTTCTCATTAGCACAACAAAAGAAAAGAGGAGTAGCTTTATATATGAAAGAAACAATGAATCCTAAACAAATCTACTTAGATGAAGAAGGAAGAATACTAATGGTAGAAATAACGATAAATCAAAAACAGACATTGATGGTAGCAATTTACGCACCGAATAACAAACAAGAATGCTACCAAAGATTACACAATAGTGGAAATGGAGTACCAAAATACTTGTTTAGTAGGAGATTTTAACGCAATTGTAGATGGAAAGTTAGATTATAGGAGTAGTAAAATAGGGGAAAAAGGAAGGAACATTTTGCCTAAGGCTTTTTTCAGAATGGCAGAAGAAATTTGTGTACACGATATATGGAGAGAAATAAATCCTAAGAAATCCCAATATACATTTTATTTAAACAGCCACAAATCATGGTCTAGAATTGACATGATATGAATATTCCCTGAATTAAGAAGGGATATACAAAAAATCGAGATAGAAACTAATGTATGAGCAGACCATAATTCGATAAAGATGACCTGGAGAGGAACAAAGAAAAAAGCAAGATGGACTTTAAACCAATTCTTATTGAAAAAGAAAGAATTTATACAAAAATCCGAAAAGGAAACAGAATTTTTCTTCAAAAAAAATAACAAGATACATCACTCCAAAATGTCTGGGATATAGCTAAAGCATATTTTATAGGAGTAGCTATAACCTATATGGCGAAAAGATGAACGACAAAAAACAACAACAAATTAAGCTTAAAGAGGAACTTACAAAACTAGAATTAGAACTACAAAGAGACCCACAAAAGAAAACTCTTAAAAAAACAAATGGAGATAATAAAACACAAATTAAATCTAATAGAAGCTGAAGAAATGGCTCAACAAATCAAAAGAGCAAATCAAAGGAATGGAGATAATAGATGAAAAGTACAAACTACAAGCATTCGCAGATGACCTGGTATTTATATTGGAGGGTCCGTTAGAGAAAGTCCTAAATTATTTGCAAAGATTGAAGAATTTGGAGAAGTAGGAGGACTGAAAATTAGTAGAGAAAAGACTAAAGTTATAATTAAAAACCTCACAGATAAACAAAAAAACCCAACTATCAGTAAAAAGAAACCTTCAAATAGCTAAGAAAGTTAAATACTTGGGGATATATTTAACAGCAAGATGTGCAACAATAAAAGAAGATAATTATGTAAAATTATTAAAACAAATAAAACTAGATTTGGAAAAAATGGAAAAATCTACAATCCTGGGAAGAATAGCAACGGTGAAAATGAACATTTTACCAAAACTACTCTTTTTATTTCAAACAATACCAATAAAAATTGACAAAAAATTTTCAATGAATTAAATACCGTATTTTCCGGCGTATAAGACGACTGGGCATATAAGACGACCCCCAACTTTTGAGAAGATTTTCAGGGTTTAGAAAGTCGTCTTATACGCCAGAAAATACGGTATGTTATTCAAACCACAACTTAAGAATGATTCATAAGGCCTGTTCTGTTACATCTTTTAGATATCCGTTGAAAATCTCATCACTGTAGTGTTTTCTGGATTTTGTTGTTGCTTCTATTTTCTTTTCCTCTTCCCCAAATTTATTATTATTTATACCTGTATTTTGTACATCACTTTGAGATGATATAGGAAGCAATACTTAAGATTCATCATTTTTGTGCCTTTCAGTCATTAGTAAGATAAATAACAACAAAAACAAAGATCTGCAAACCCAGTCATAGACTGTGTCATGGCAGGCAGGTGCCACTAGAAAGTTGCATTAGGACAGAGGAAGGGAGGCTGATCTTGTGAATGTTTTTTTCCTATTCCTTCTCAAAAATCACCCGGAAAAAAAATACCTTTTAACATTATTGGAAAAGTCCTCCACCCAATTTGACTGTAGGAGGGGGAGCCATCGCTACCATCCTTCCTCAGTTGACCCCTCTCCTGAAAATGGTTTTCCTCTTCCAAGTGGGCATCCCATTCTATCAACGGAGGCGAGGTTCACCAGAAGGCAAGTTTGAAGCTCAGAGGAAAATGCTGATTCCTTTTCTCCCTCGCTTTCCTCTCTGGCGACTCTCATCTGCGGCGGAAGAAGGGACCCAGGTAGGCCGCGCTGTTGCTGCGGTTTCTATGCCTGCCCTGCCCTGCCTTGCCCCGCCACGTTGTAAGTCAAGAATTTGGAGGCGTGAGCAGGCCAGCAGCCGGTTCCGCGATTAGTTCGGGTAAGGCGGCCGCGGCTGGGCGGTCCTTCTCTGCCTAACTTTTATCGCTGCTTCGGTCTGCCCCTGCTTGCCCTAGGGCTCGCGGGGAGAGCCAGAGGGAGGGCGCTTCTCTCTGCGGTATCCGGCGAAGTTAGCTGGAGGGGAGGGAGGCCCTAGGAGAGGAGCGGTGTCACTTTACCGCTTGTTCGTGCTGTATTAACGCCCCAGAAGTATTTCCTTTAGCGGTCACGGTGGAGTCGTGGTGCATTTAAGACGAATCTTCGTGGGTCGCGATTGCATTTGCCAATGCAGTGAACCGAGGAGAGTGGCGCGCTCTCAATTGGAACCCCACGAGCTTAAGCCAACAATTTCAAAGTACCGTATTTTCCGGCGTATAAGACGACTGGGCGTATAAGACGACCCCCAACTTTTGAGAAGATTTTCAGGGTTTAGAAAGTCGTCTTATACGCCGGAAAATACGGTACATTGATATTGAAATTTATCTGACAAGGAAAAAAAGCTAGAATCAGACTGAAAATGTTACAAGAAGCAAAAGAAAACGGAGGCTTTGGCCTACCAGACTGGGTCTTGTACTATCAAGCAGCCGCACTAACATAGTTAAAAGAATGGATAACTCTTAGAAATAAAAGACTATTATATCTAGAAGGGCATGACCTACAACTTGGATGGCATACTTTCCTATGGTATTCACAAATACTTTCAAAACCACTATGTAAGAAATGCACTGCTTTTGACATGGGAAAAGGTAAAATCAAGAACTTACGGTACATGAAAATACCAGGATGGATTTCGACAATGGAGGCGTTTGAACACCCAAACGTAATCAATTATGAGAAACTTGTGACTTATAAAGATATTTTGAATACTGATGGGAAACTACAAACAGAACAAGAATTGGAAGAACAGGGCATTTAGCTATCATGGTGGCTACACCTGCAAGTGCAAATGAGATATGAGAAAGATGCAAAAATATATGGTTTTTACAAAGACCAGATGTTAGACCAGATACTATTGTCATCAGATGACAAATTGATTAAGAAACTGTGCAACTTTCTGTTAAATTTAAAGTTGGAAATGCAGACAAAATCCAGGCACATATTATCATCTTTGGTGGACATGCCCTAAAGCAAAGAACTATTGATCAAAAATACATAGGTGGCTAGAAAAGATGATAGGAGCACATGTAGACTATAAACCGGAATTATTTCTTTTAGGCATAATTTCAGAAAATTATGATAAGAAATGTGTATACTTAATATTACATATAGTAACATCAGCAATAATTATATTTGCTCAATACTGGAAAAACGAAGAAATACCACCTGAAGAAGACATAATTAAGAACATTTTGGACTGTGCAGAAATGGATAGGCTCACATTGAAATGAAGGGGAAGTAACATTCAGAATACTTTCAAACATGGGAAAATTTGTATAAATGGTTAGAAAAACGGAATAAAGGGTAGGAATGGAAATTGTACTACTATTAATGTCAAACACATAAACCCAAACGTGTTGCTTATTAAATACTAAAAGTGTTACTGTAAAAAAATTAATAAAATATACATAAAATACTTATTTCACTCATTAAAATGCAAATCAATTTATAACTTTTTTGAAATACATTTTTCTGGATTTTTTTTGTTATTCTGTCTCTCACTGTTAAAATAAACCTACCATTAAAATTATAGACTGATCATTTCTTTGTCAGTGGGCAAATGTACAAAATCAACAGGAAATCAAATTTTTTCCCCTCACTGTATATGGAATGATAACACAGTGACCTCTCTGGATTTAATTAATTTGTTAATTGACTTTGAGTGTCCCTATCTACCTCATCCAGGAATAAAAGATTATAGAAGCTGCGTCAGTGATGGAAATTATAGAGAAGCACAAGTTTTCTTACTAGATATGCTAGGTTAGCAGTAAGTACCAGGAGTAGCTAGACCTAGGGGAAGGAGGGAGGGAGGGAGAGAGGAGAGAGAGAGAGAGAGAGAGAGAGAGAGAGAGAGAGAGAGAGAGAGAGAGAGAGAGTATCATATCTGCAATCTGGTTTATCATGCAGTAAGATTGGCACAATTTATACTGCTTGACCTACTTGAAACAGTTAACTTTTCTGTTCCTCCCACAGGACTAGAGCTGGGAATGCTCTACAGTGAGGAATCCAAGTCTTTTTTATTTTGCAGAAACTATTAAGACTCATTGCCCTTGGCCCCAGTTGTCTGGCAATTTTGTATTCTGTCCTAGCCTTCTTTCGTGTAACACCATCAAAACAATTTATTCTGTTGAAAGCTGCCTCTTTCTCCCAAACTGTGAGAGGCCTAAAACAGACCTCAGAGGTCAGCAAGAGAAAATATTATTAGCAACAGTGTTTATAAATAAATCTTACATAGTGGCTTTATGAGGAGTTCAAGGACTTGCCTGCTGGCTAGATAATTTTATAGCCTTTGTAGTTCTAATGACATGGCGAAAACTCAGATTAGCTATTAAATATTATTGTTTAAGACTGTCCAATGCTTCAGATTTGAGGGGAAATCTTATTTTCTCAACAACTGAAAGAAACAGTGTCTTCTTCAGAATTGTGTGACTGTTCTTTGCAACTGCATCTGATCCAAATAAAAGGTGTTCTTTGTTTAAGGAACAGTTGACAAGTGCTATGTGCATACCTATGCACTCTAAAGAACCTTTTTTCCCTTTGAATCCAAAATGTTGCACAGCCTAGTAAAGCAGTGTTTACTTTTTACTGGAGTTACAAACTTTCTTCACTTAAGGAGCCCCTGGAATGCCAGGAAGACCTAGTTCTCTATAATTTATAAATATTTATGTAACACTTCTGTGATGACAGATATTCTTCTTGTAGTAGCAGATATCAAATTAAATGTTCAATTTGCCCACTAGTCATATAGGAGTCTACCTAGCTTCAGTTACAGGTAATCCCTGAGTTACAAGCGTTCACTTGACGCTCATTCAAAGTTACATGATGAGCCCCCCCTAGTGCTTACGAGCAAGTTATGAAGTTATGAATATTGCAGCACCACGGCAGTTGTTCGTCCTTATGAGTGACCGCAGTGGCTCTGCAACATTCACCCTGGTTATTCCCTCCCCATCCCCACCCTGGGTCTCCCTAGGGCTAGGCACTAGGCCTTCAATACTCAACCTACGAAGATTGAGATCCTTCACTTTCTTGGCTGCTCCAGGCCTTTGGTGCGTTTGCAGAGAATGGAGGCCTAAAGTAACGCAAGATCACGTGAGATCAGTGGGGTGAGATCTCACGCTACTGATCTCACATGATCTCATGGTACTTTAGGCCTCTGTTCTCTGCAACAGAGAACAGAACTGAAGCTGGGGGATGCTTCCATGTGCCTCTGGAGGCCTTTTCCAGGCCACTGCCGCCCAGATCTGAGGCCAGGGAATCCTTCCGTGCCCCCCCATGGCCCGATCCAGGCTCCGGAGGCCTTTTCCAGGCCGCTGTGGCCCGGATCTGAGGCCGGGGGATGCTTCTGCGCCCCACTGTGGGCCGATCCAGGCTCCAGACGCCTTTTCCAGGCCACTGCCACCCAGATCTGAGGCCGGGAAACACTTCCGCTTCCCCCCGTGGCCCGGTTTGGGCTCCGGAGGCCTTTTTACAGGCCCAATCAGGCCTCAGGGTGGCTGTGGACGTGTTCACCAACCTTAGATCTGGGTGTCAGTGGCCTGGAAAAGGCTCCATTACACTCATAACTCGAGGACTACCTGTATTCTAACATAAGGGCAGACAGAACTAAGTTACTTCCTTTGGTTAACTGATATTTGCATTCTTTTTCTTCGTCCTTTTTGTTTGTTCATTTAAACTAGTCGCATTAATGTCATTTACCACAGCCCCTAAAAACTGCTCCAGTTTTGCAACAAAGTGCTTTTCCTGAAATAGTTATAGCACTGTTTTATAGCTCTTCCCCAAAATTGAAGCAGCTACTTCATATATTTTCAGTACCATTCATTAATAGTTTTGAAGGCATGACCATGGAGAGAAGGTATGCAACCAGACTAGTGCATTCATTTCTTGCACTGTGTCTAAGAGGAAATTTTTATTTATCCATTCATTTATTTATTTTCACATTTTTTAACTGCCCAGCTCCCTCAGAGATGTATGAAGTTGTATAAAAATTCTCATTCTTGTCTTTGCCTTTTTTTCTCAAAGCTGTATTCAGAATATGAGTACCCAAACAAGCAGTCTCAGTTTAGAAGTTAGGTATACTGCTTTTGAACATACTATTGGAGGATGCTTTCATCCACTGTAGAAAAACAGGTGATTGTATTCTTCTACAGCAGATGGAAGATATTTACCCTGGGTGGAGATGTCTGAGTGCTGGGAATGTAGCAATTCCTGCTACTTATGGTAATTCTGCTTTTAATGAGTGTAGCCTGAGTTCTAGTAGAGACTTGAGAGTTGGTTTGGAACACCCTTTCTCAACCTGGCTGCCCTCAAGTCATGTAAACCTTGTCTTCCAGAATTGCCCAATCAATGTTGCAATTGCTGGTAATATAGGTTTTAAAGTCTACACCTCTCAAGAATCTCCAGATGTGGGAAGATTGGTTTGAAAGAATTATTGCCTGTTTGATGTAATGTTTATCTATATATTGGGTGGGGATTTCTCTTACATAAGAAAATGTATGTATGATTTGCATAAGGCCTACCAATTGAAATTAGTGGGAGGACCAACTCACTTTTTATCCACCTGAAAATTAATCCTCTTGCAATAAATTCAGTTTTTAAAAGAGAAATATTGAACACACACTGATGATATGGGGCTCCAATGACTTAAAGCCTGTCATTATGTATTAAATGTATTATATGAGCATGATTTTCATGTTAGAATGATATTTTGAGAAATTGAAAGGCTTTTAATCCTGGAGAACACATACATAACGGTTGTCTTTCTCCAACAATTTCTTTTTTCCAATCCATCTATTCTTAGTGGCTAAATCTCTGCTATTAGATTCTCCTTTTATAAGGGGAAGAAAAAGGAAGATTAACTGTAAAGGAAATGGAGGGAGAAATAAGAGAAGCTGCTGCTTTTACTTTCAAATTTCACTGGGAATAATATCAGATGTCTTGTTATAAATATATCATGTATTCAGTTCTTCAGTGACATATATTTAATTTTCCAGACTTGCATATTTTGTCTAGTCAACTCGGGAATACCATATTTCCCTGAAAATAAGCCCTACTCCAAAAATAAGCCCTAGTTTTGGGGCGAGGCACACACCTAAAAATCAAGCTTGGGGGGGTGGAGCTTCTCACATGCCCAACACCTGCCTTGCCCAACACCTGCCTTGCCAGCCCAGTTCTTCTGTGGCTGTTTGCCACCACTCTCTCTCTTGCGCGCGCATCACCCCAGCCTCCATTTCATTGTCAGAGGCCTTCAGGAAATGCCTCTGCTCGTGTCAATCTAGAGCTTGGTTCTCAGCTGCAGAGGCCTTTCCAGAACACCTCTGATGGCGAAATGGAGGCCGGGGGGCACCGCACATGTCAATCCAGAGCTCCATTCCCAGCTGCAGGGGAATTTCCTGAAGGCCTCTGGTGGCGAAATGGAGGCCCGGGGTGATGCATGTGAGAAAGTAGCGGCAAGCAGCCGGCAAGCAGCCGCAGAAGAAGTGGGCCGGAAGGCTGTCAGTGCTGCCACCGTGAGGTGAGACTGTGGAAAAGACATCCCTCGAAAATAAGACCTGGTGCCTCTTTTGTAGGCAATAAATAAATAAATAAATAAAATAAGGCCGGGTCTTATTTTGGGGAAAACGTGGTATATAATAAAGTATTGTATGGAATAATGTGAGTAAACCTGATGGATTTGTGAAAATTGAAAACTTCTTGCGTGAAAATTTTAAAATCACATTTTCTAATGCGATTCTTTTTGCAGAAATTAATGGAATAACAAATTGCAAAAATACTAAAGGTGTTGAATGTGCCGTGTCTGAATCTTTTCCTTGTGAAGTATTTTCTAATGGTCTTAAGCCACTTATGGGCCTTATTCAACTAGATGCAATGGATGGAAAATCTCACAGCCTGGATGAGTCAACAGATGAAGTTCAGTCTATGGATGTGAGGTACACAATATATTTTCAGAAATAGTATTAGTAATCTAAAGAAGGTAGCAATTCATTTTCAGTGCTTGAAGCTGCTTTGAATGTTATGGATTGTGTTATATCAGAGGATCTACACAGGTTCGCTTCATGACTAAAGTTACTCGCAACCTGGCACTAATTCTTTTAAACATTATTGTTTTAGTGAAAAAGGTTCAGTTAATATAGTCCTACCTTGTCTTTTGTTCTTTTATTTCCACCAGCACCTGTAAATCAATATTTGATATTCAAAGTATCAAATGTATTTAATGTCAATAAATAATATACAAATGCTATGCATCTGAAGAAGATTCCAGTGTATCATAATGCTTAGGAACTTAGGATAGGAGCTTCTTTCAGTTCAAGGCTTAATATATACATAACACCTATTCTCTTATCCTATTATTCTTCCATTTTAAAATAAGTAAGATGAAATCATTTTTAATCATATGAAGACAGTTTTATTGTCATACTTATATATGTTAAAATATACAGCAATACTTTGATTCTTTCCTTTCTTCAGTCCTGCTTCAAAGGAAGAACTTATATCTATCCCTGAATTTTCACCACTGAATGAAATGATGCCAGGAATTACTTTGGACCAAAATGGATCAAATAACAGGAAGGCTCTTGAAGAACTCCTAGATTTTACTGGCCAGGCCACTTACCCAAAATTAACAAGTGAAAGTATTAGCATAGATGATTGTAATAAAAATTTGATTGATGGATTTAATAGCCCAAGCCAGGAGACAACACTAAGTACTTTATGTTGACAAATACATCGCTACATAGCAACAAGGTATGGTGCTTTCATAGAATACAACTATTCAGCTTTCTTTTCCAGTCAAAAGTTGTTTGACAGAAGTCAATTCATTTCTTTCTTTAAATGTTAAATAAGTGACCATGCTATCTTTTGTCTTGCCTATATTTTCCATAGTTATGTTAATCACAGCCACATAAGGGCTGGGGAAATGAAAAGAAAAAATTCTAAACCAGAAAGGGTTTTGGTGGTGGCAGAAAAGCAAATAAATTTCATCAGATATCCCAAAGTTTTTGAATTTTACTTTGTTTTAAAGAAAAAAAAAGGAATCCATACAATCAGAAGGGTGCACAACAGCACTCACTTTGAAATGTGAGTATTGGATGTTTGAGTCTGTATATTGAAAAACTGTTTTGTTCAGTACATGGACTGAAATATCAAAGAGCTTTTATGAAGAGGGTAAAAGGGGGGGAAAGAGGTTTTCTTAGCAATTGAATGTGCAAATATTGGCAGTGGCTGAGGCAAAGCAGAGAAGAGAAGAGAAAGAAGGGCAGGTTATAGGGAAATGGCAAGAGTCTATCTGTACATCCGGGAAAATCACTCTGGGATGTCTCTTGATTTTGTTTTGCCTTAAATATAGAACAAACTCAATTTCACTGAGGGCCACATCAGCATTATGGTTGCCCTCAAAGGGCCACTTGCTGTCCCCTTCTCTCCCTCAGGCTTGCCCCACAGAAGCCTCTCCTATCCCCTTCTCGCCCTCAGGCTTGCTCCAATGACATCTCTCCTCTCCTCCCTATTGCCTTTCCTTCCCCTTTCTTGCCAAAACCCCTCCTCTTCTCTCCTCCCCCATGCATTTACTCACTTTTCAAGCAGTGTTCATCAGCTGCAGCTGCGTACACTGATTCTGGGGTCCCCGCCAAGCCCCGCAGCTCCAGCTGACTCTTCCCTGAAGACTGTGTGCGGCTGCCAGCCACCCCCAAGGCTGCCAGAAGCCTCGATCAGCTGGAGCAGTGCGCGTCAATCCCAGGGCTTCAGCAGAGCCCAGCTACACCACAGTTCCAGCTGACTCTCCCCCAGGACTCTCTGGTGCTGCCACTGCTTCAGCTCACCCCCCTACATACAGATAATCCATGAATTACGACCGTTCCCTTAATGAACGTTCGAAATTACACGCTAAGCACCCCCTAGTGTTTACAAAAAACTCTCAAAATTACGAATGTTGCCGCAGCATGGCAGTCGTTCACCCTTACAGATGACCGCAGTGGCACTGTAACATTCACCCTGCTATTTCCTCCCCCCCCCCCCCCCCGGTCTAGGCACTAGGCCTGTGGATACTCATCTTGCAAAGATCAAGAGATCCTTCACTTTCTTGGCTGTTTCACTGCTTCCTTCGGTGCATTCGCAGATAATAGAGGCCTAAAGTAACGCAAGATCATGCGAGATCAGTGGCACGAGATCTCACACTACTGATCTCGCGTGATCTCATGATAGTTTAGGCCTCTGTTCTCTGCAACAGAGAATGGAACAGAAGCCGGGGAAGAACGGACCTCCAGAGGCACACAAAAGCCTCCCCCCCCCCGGCCTCCGTTCTGGGCATTGGAGGCTTGGAGGAGGCCTCCGAGGCCCAGAATGGGCCTCTGGAGCCCTGCTGAAGCATCCCCTAGTGTCCTTTCTGGGCAGCAGCAGCCTGGAAAAGGCCTCCGAGGCCCACATTAGGCCTTCAGAGCCCCGCTGAACCGTCCTCGCCAGCCTTTCCAAGAGGCAGCGGCCCAGAAAAGGCCTCCAACGCCCAGATCGGGCCTTCGGAACCCCGCTGAAGCATCCCCCGGTGTCATTTCTGGGTGGCAGCAGCCCAGAAAAGGCCTCTGATGCCCAGATTGGGCCTTCGGAGCCCCACTGAAGTGTCCCCCAGCATCCTTTACAAGTGGCAGCAGTTCTGAAAAGGCCTCCAATGCTTGGAAATGACATCAGGGGACGCTTCAGCGGGGCTCTGAAGGTCTGTTCTGGGCTTTGGAGGTCTCCAAGGCCCAGAATAGAGACCATGGGCAGTGGCCACGTGCTTCTGGAGGTCCGTTCTGGGCCTTGGAGATCTACTCCAGGCCTCTGAGGCCCAGAATGGAGGCCAGAGAGGTGGCCACGTGCTTCCAGAGGTCCTCAGAGGCCTCCCTCTTGCTGGGAGCAGAGAAAGAAACAGAGGCTGGAGAAGAGACAGATCTTCACAAGGTAAGTGACCCGGCATGGCAGGATGGGGGGGAAACAATTGTGGGCCCCCAGGGGAGGGAGTATGAGGTATTTCAGTGGGTCAGGGAAGGCCTTGGGTGATCTGAAGATGACCTGTTCCATAACTAGGCCCTCCATGGCCTTCCCCTCCCTGAGATATCTCATGTTCACTTAATGAGCTGCACTTTCTCCCATGCATTAAATTAGCGAATGCATGGGCGAAAGCTGGGAATGAATTGCGTTCAAGGTACAAGATGCACTCCTTCGAATCCTCAAGTTATGAATGGAATGGGCAGGCTCCTTTACATTCGTAACTCGAGGACTACCTGTACTCAGTATTCCTCCTACTAGTCTGCTTGCAGGTCAGATCTAATCACATCATGGGCCGGATCTGGCGCATGAACTTTGAGTTTGACATGTCTGATCTAGTACAAAACATTTTGGGTGTAATTTGCTACTAAACTACAACTTTGAAGCCCTCCCCCCCCATACACAAATACACATATTTGTTTCATGTATAGCTCCATTCTTGACACATTCACTGAGCATAAATGGGGACCTGGATCTATCTAGCAATGTCCTTCATAATAACATTCCTTTGTCTATTTTGTATATTTACTTTTAATTTACGCAGTTTTTATATATAAACTCCATTCATAAGAGTCTACCATATTTCCCCGAAAATAAGACCAGGCTTATATTTATTTTTGCTCCAAAAGACTCACTAGGGCTTATTTTGGGGGGATATCTTATTTTTTCACATACAGGGGGCAGCAAGCACTCGGAAGCCAATGGTGTCCGGCAGCAGCCACAGCCCGCCAGCCCCTTGGTCAGTGTACTCTGGGGCTGCAACGCCCATGCAACGCAGGTGATTGGGAGCACTGCTACCGCCAAGCTGGCCCTCTCCGTCCCACCATGGCTGCAACGGGGCAGGCAGCTGCACAGCACATCCAGTGGACTGGTACTACCGCCACGAGTTGAGGTGAGGCAGGTGGTGGGGCAGGGGTGGCCTAGCTGCGGGGCTCTTGGAGCAGTTTCACCCTGCCACCTGCCTCGCCTCACCTTGTGATGGTGGCATTGGTCCGCTGGACACGACACGCAGCCACTGGGCCACGAGATGCACTGTGTGGCCGCCTGCCCCATTGCGGTTGTGGGCAAGCAAACGGTGGGACTGGGAGAGTGGGTAGCTGCACAGGCTTCAGCTGGACAGGGTTGGTGATGCTGGTGCCGCTGCAGCGAGGTGAGGCAGATAGCGAGGCTGGGGTAGCCTGGCTGTGGTGCCCTGAGGTATGGGACACATGGGGCAGCTCCAGCCCCTCGCTACCTGCCTCGCCTTACCTTGTGATGGCACCGGCTTGCCGGACGTGCCATGTGGTTGCCTGTCTCATTGCAACCGCGGGCAAGCAAATGGTGGAATGGAAAGGGACGGCCCGGCAGTAGCAGCACTCCCACTCACCTGCGTTGCGTGGGTTTCACAGCCCCAGAGTGTGCCTTGGCCAGTGGGCTGTGGCTGCTCCAGACAGTTGGTCCCCATGCGCTTGTGCCTCTCAAGTTCATTGGTTTACATATGGTACCTTTACCTCTTGTCCAAAGGTGCCTGCTTGGGTACAGTATGTACAAATACTTATTTATATTTTATATTATCATTTATTTTAAGTATTAATGTCAATAATATTATTTCTTTATATTTAATTATATATTAATATTATTGTTTTATAATTTAATACGTCCGTTGTTTATTGCAATGGATCTCTGGCTGATGATCCTAACGAGCTTATTTTTGGGGTAGGGCTTATATTACGAGTGTCCTGAAAAATCATGCTAGGGCTTATTTTCCTGTTGGCTCTTATTTTCGGAGAAACACAATACTTAGCACTTGGGTTTTCTAAGGATATCTGCCTATCCTTCCATCAATTTACTTAATCTAAAAACAATAATATATTGTATAATAAAATCTGAAAATGAATCCAAATGTACATTACAAAAATCTTGTGCCCTTTATACTACAGTATAAAGGTTAACAAACTTATATTAGCAAAAGCATTTATGGATTTCCAAATTAGGTACATAGAATATTATTACCTGCCATCATAATGGATGAGAGTAATTGAAATAGTTAATAGATGTAGTAATCTGTACATTAATTATATAACATGATAAGATCTGTTATGCTACTGGAAGTTCATCTGCATGAATGATGGCTCAGCTACTCAAGGACAATATCCGTATTTGTGATTTCTTTGCTCAAGGTTCAGTACTTTTGAGTATACTCATTGTATTTCTCTTTCTGATCAGCAGAGGAAATTGAGAATATAGAACTCTCTCAATGCTGCTATTATCAGTAAAACAAGAGCCTGTCATTTTAAGAAGCTGCTACAGTCTGCAATACTGGATACCACGAGCTCTGCATTGAATTTACAGTCTTCCCAAATGAATTGCTGAGTAGTCACAATAAAAAGCGGGATTTTTTAATAGTTTGAGGAACTTTGGTGGGAGTTTTGTTTAGAATATGGCCTAGTGAAAATGTGGGTCCTAAACTTCTCTCTCAATGGGTTCCATTTATTTTAAAAGAAAAAAATAATTTTGTCACTGAAACATGGTATGTAAATGATTATTAAAATGAAATATTGCCAATATGCTTGTTTTTACTGAAGGCCCATCTTAATGTCATTTTATAAATATTTCACTGAAGCTCTATAATTGAAAAGGTTTGAAAAATAATATGCAACTGTTGGAATCCAACTATCTTGAAGACAGTGTAGAATTAGAATTATCCCTCATCAACATGTGGCACATAACAGATTTTATGTTGTTTTAATCCATAACTTAGTTAGCATTACTCTGTGATGACAATATATGCTAAAATTAGAAGGTCTTTATTACATGGGTCTAAAACATATTTAAGTTTGTTTCTTTGGGATAAAATATTGCTACATTTAATTATGTATATTATTATATAGACATGGCAACATACTATTAAGATGTAATTACGAATGCAGAAAATTATATTTATCCAACATGATAAACTGTTAGCATCTTTCACTTAACAAATGTGACCGAAGAAAAGTTCTTGAGATAATCGATATCTTAAAAAACCATAGCTCAGATAAGCATTTTAAGAGCTGTTGATTTTAACAAGCTCTTATCTAGATTTTTTTTTGTTAAAAATCAATGGAACTTGTAAAGGTTTTAATTTATCTTGGAATTTGGCATAAGCAGTTTCAGTTTTCAGTGACCTCATTAATGCTGTGGTCTATGCTGCCCAGGGAGGTCAATGTTTGTCCTATTCTATAAAACCAAAAAATTTGCTAAAGCTAATGAATTTTTTTATGTTAGACTGTGTTAAACTATAACTCTGTTCTTGTGTCTTTAAAAAATGACCTGTTTAATAACAAAAATATGTGACAATATACATTGCTTACAATAGTTATATTAATGTATTTCCACAAAAGTAATTCCTTGTTGGCTTGCAAATATGTTGTAGCATGGTACAGTGTCTTTCACGTTAATCCTGCAATTTCCATCTTACACAATAAAATATATCAACCTATCATATATGGCTATGATACTGTGATGGTGGTGTTTTTGTTCCTGTTTTGTTTGAGAAATCCTTATTTGGGCATGTAATAGTTTTGCTTGTGTGTGTGTTTCTAAAATACTGTAGAAGTTCTATAAAGTTTCCCAAATATCAGTCTTCTACTCATTTGATATAATATTCTTTCTTCATCTGTATTAGAAGGCAGATTCAAGAAGATATCCTTCAGTTGCAGAACCTGCCTTCTGGCTCAAGTCATTAAAACCCTGGAGCAGGGGTGTCAAACTGCCGCAGCCGCTCGCATCACATGGAGGCTGCGCCCACCCCAGCTCCAGCAATGCAAAAAAAGTCACGATACATCTCGATATGTCACATGGCGAATTTGACACCCGTGCCCTGGAGGATCCTGCTTTATTATATCTTTTAGACAAATGTAACTAGCAGTCTAATTAGGAACACTCCTGGTCAGCCTAACTATATGTTATATATTTTCTGAACTAAGAAGACCTAAGTTGCTGAGTTTTCTATTATCCCTGTAGGACTAAGTACCTGCATATGAATGGATACTTATAGTACATGTCAGCTCCCACCTTATTCTTAGTTTGTGTTTCGAAACCATGCAGTGACAATCTGCCATGAACTATGGTGAGGGTGGATGGGAGGGTTGCTTGGGGGAAAGTGAAAGTGACTGCTGCTTGGGGAAAGTGAGAGTAACTGCTGTATCCCCCCTCCCTCCAGCTGGGAGAAGAATGCAGCTGCATACCAAACTATACTTGAAGTGACCATTTTCAAAACATCTTGCTTGAATCTGGGACCAGTGATGGGAAGCAGCTAAGGAAAAGAAAAGTTGAACTTAGGGATTTGATTCTCAGTTCTGGTTATACACTATTGCAATGCACTTGACTTGTAATAAAACTATACCTTTCTCAACAAATGGAGCCAAGGATCGTTTCTATTTAGAGGTTTAAGTTGCAGCAGGTCTGACAGTACAGTACACTTAATTAAAAACAGGGTACCATGCAATTTTATTGTATTTTTATTCTATAATAAATTTAATCTCACAAAAATGTGATATAATACTTGAGAGATCACCAGGAAATCCCCGACCTATAGGCTATAGTAGTAAACTGGATGGTTGAAAAAAGATTCCAGAAGAAAACAAAGACAAACTATTTCCATAGGACTATCAACTTTATGGACATGCACACAGAGTAAGCTGCAATCAAAATCACAACTTGAAGGAGGATTTACCTTACATTAACCTCCAACACAGCATTATATATCAAATTTCACATTAGCACTTGTTATCATGGAACATTTTAAATATTTTGAATTATCACTAAACTAGTTGCCTGGAACCAGCTTTAAAAGATAGGCTATGTGCCGTAGCCCTTTCAGTAGTTATCATTTTCTAAATACCTAATAATGTATATATTGTGCTTGGCTTATGTATTAATCTTCCATAAAATAGATTTAAAATAGATTGCTTTAAAGGAATATTTCCAATTAAATTAATTCCTACATAATATTTTAAATTTTAATTCAACAACACATCAAGAATGCATTATTTTGTATTTGGATGAGCAATAGTTCTGAAAATAAAAATTTCTTTTCAAACAACACATGTTTCACAAAGCCTAACTCAAATGAGAATTTATCATATATATGAAGAAGCAATATTCCTGGATGATGTCTGTCACATTGTAAGCACTAAGTACTGACTAATCCACCCAATGGTTGCAACATCTTTGATTTGCTTTACTCTGATATGTCTCTCCAATATTCATAGGGTTATATCCAATTATATAAATCTCTAGCACAAAATGTCTATGAGTTCCAAGAAAGCTGATTTCATTTTTTTAACTGTATTAATCATTTGATTTAGATTATGAAAGCTATTACACAATTCCAAGTGATTTCATTACACTTGGTAAAATTATACTAATTTACTATTATGATTGTATATCACTATCAGCAATTTTAATATTTGTATTTGTCGGACCTGCCACAACTTAAATTTCTAAATAAAAATGATCCTTGGCTCCATTTGTTGAGAAAGGGATAATTTATTAGAGATCAAGTGCATTGCACTAGTGCAAAGCCAGAACTAAAAATCAAGTGCCAAAATCACTAAGTTCTACTTTTCCCTCCCTTAACTGTCTCTCGTTGTCCACCCCAATGCAACCAATCAGATTCAGGCAAGAAATTTTCCTAACGGTCAGTTCAAGCATAGTTTCACATGCGTCCTCCTCCTTCTTCCAGCTGAGTGACCTTGAGGCAGCTTCTTGAGGAGATACAGCACTTACTGTTATAAGTGCTAATAGGTGTCAACTCTACAACGAATCTGGCTGCAGCCATTTTGCTCGTTCTAGGTTGCCACAAGAATGGGAGGGGTTGCGGAGGATTTCTACTAATCTAAACATTTTAATGTCCTGTGGGAAGCAAGGTCATTTCTGTCAGTTTGATGGGGGCATGAGCATTTAGTTAGAAAGCCCGCCAAACTCTTCTATTGGGGAACGTAGCTGATTGCATAGCATTGGGGTGGGAAGTTTAACTTTCTAATATTGTTTCTCTTTGAAGGGAAATTCAGACTTGGTTTCACTTTTGACTGTTCCAATACTATGTAACCAATAAACATATTCTTTGAGGAAATCTCAAGCCTCGGAATTTTAATTTATTTGGTCTTGTCTATCGGAATCTCGATAATAGGGTTGTCAATGCTTTAATATAGATGTTTGTGCAGGTAAGAATATCAACCTTGCTGTCAAGGAAAATCAAGCTTTTGATAGAGTGTGCCATACTATGTGCACTAATCAAACAGGTGGTAAGGAAGTAGGGGAACTCAGGCACAAAACATAGAAAGTAAACACAGGGTCAGTCCAAAAGGACTCAAATGTCTATATACCAACTCACAAAGTATGAGGAATAAACAGGGTGAATTAGAAATTTAAGTAAATGAGGGCAGATATGATATTGCTGCCATTATGGAAACTTGGTGGGATGAAACCCACAAATGGAATATACAGCTAGAGAGATTTAAATTATTTAAAAGAAACAAAGCAAATATACAGGAGGTGGAGTTGCATATATATAAGAAATAACTATTTCTCTACAGAAATAGAGCACAACAACGATAGAAACTGTCTTGAATGCATTTGGGTCAATATAAAAGGGGGTAAAATGACATTGCCATATTTTTACACTAGGCCACCTAACCAAACAAAGGAAATAGACAAACTTTTTGCTAGTCAGTTAACTAAGGTACGTAGGAAGCACATTACAATACTAATGGGGGACTTTAACTACCCTGATACCAACTGGGAGACAAACACTGCACCAAGTGGAAGATCAGACAGGTTCCTGACAAACCTAGCAGACAACTTTGTCTCCAAAAAAGTAGAGAAGGGAACTAGGGGATCAGCCATATTGGACTTAATTCTCACAGAGAAGTTTGCAGTGGGTACTCCAAGGCTCTGTTTTAGGCCAAGTGCTCTTCAACATCTTCATCAACGATTTGGATGAGGGGATAGATGGGGAACTCATAAAATTTGCAGAGGACACCAAGCTGGCAGGAAAAGCTAACACTCCAGAAGATAGGCTTAAGATACAGAAGGATCTTGACAGACTTGAACATTGGGTGCTATCTAACAAAATGAAATTCAATGGTGAAAAAAGTAAGGTTCTACATTTATGCAAGAAAAACCAAATGCACAGGTAGGTGGTACCTGTTTCAATAGTAGTAACTGTGAGAGGGATCTCAGAGTCCTAGTGGACAATCATTTAAATATGAGTCAGTAGTGTGCTGCAGCTTCCAAAAAGGCCAACACAGTTTTAGGCTGCATTAACAGATAGAATCTGTTTTACATGAAGTGTTAATACCACTTTAAAATGCCTTGGTAAGATCACACTTGGATACTGCAACCAGTTTTGGTCACCAAATGTAAAAAAGATGTTGAGACTCTAGAAAGAGTACAGAGAAGAGCAACAAAGATGATTAGGGGACTGGAGGCTAAAACATATAAGAAACAGTTGCTGGAATTGGGTATGTCTAGTTTAATGAAGAGAAGGACGAGGGGTGACATGATAGCAGTGTTCCAATATCTCAGGGGTTGCCACAAGGAAGAGGGAGTCAAGCTATTCTCCAAAGCACCTGAAGGCAAGACAAGAAGCAATGGATGGAAACTAACCAAAGAGAGAAGCAACCTAGAACTAAGGAGAAAATTCCTAACAATTAGAACAATTAATCAGTGGAACAACCTGCCTCCAGAAGTTGTAAATGCTCCAACACTGGAAGTTTTAAAGAAGAGATTGGACAACCATTTGTCTGAAATGGTATAGGGTTTCCTGCCTGAGTAGGGGGTTGGACTAGAAGACCTCCAAGGTCCCTTCCAACTCTGTTATTCTGTTTCCCCAAGCATTCCCCCCTTCAATCCCCCTCTCCACAGTTCATGGCAGTTTGTCACCGCATAGCAACGAAGCATAAGCAAGCATAAGGTGACAGTAGACAGTATTCTTTTCACTAACAAGATATAATACTGAAAAAAATCAACTAAACATCTATTTTAATATTAACTGTTGCAGTGTTTATAGTTTATTTTTTCAGTATTATGTTGGGAGAATTTCCCTGAGTTCCTAAAATCAAGATGGGGAGGCTGGCTACTTGAAAAGGAGGTCTATTTGATCCAAAAACAATACAAAGTTTGCTTTGGGAGCAGCTGACCACATCAGTAAGATTTTTACAGGCCTTCTGAGCCCTTTGAATGTAATATATGCTTTTATGGCTGGAGGAGTTTAGAGGAAATATTTTGATATCTCTCTTATCAGAGCTGATATTTTTGATTTAGGATATGATCTTTGTTGTTGTCTTTGGGGGTGTAAAAACCCTGGACAAAAGTGTTAAATTCCCATGCCCCTTAGGTGTGGATTGGTTCACTGGCAACAATGTATATCCACTTCTTAGGGAAGCTTTTCCAGTGGGGGTCTTCTAATGGGGGGGGGGTTTCAAAATAAACTCTACAAGTAGTACCAGTGGTATTCTCTAGACCATGGGTGTCAAACTCGCCATGTCACGTGACGCAACGTATGGCGACTCTTTTTGCATTGCTGGAATGGGGTGGGCGCGGCTTTGGTATGATGAAAATGGCCTGCAGGCCGGCAGTTTGACACCCCTGCTCTAGACCAATGGCTCTCAGCCTGTGGTCCATGAAGATTTGAAGAAATGTTATGATTTAAATCTTGAATTAAGTCATGGGGTCTGTGGCCATGATCTGTGGCCACAAAAGGTATTTAAAGGGGATCTGTGGCGAAGGTTGGGAACCTCTGCTCAAGACTACAAAAGATAAATTTGTATGATCGCTTACGTATCACATGTACAAATAACTATTAACTAGCTACGTTTTAGTCCAGCATATTGCATTCATTTAATGTAATCTAATGTGCCTATCAAATTTAAGGGAAGTTTTAGCTCCAACTAATCATGAATGCGATGGCAGCTATTTGCCTACCGAGAAAGGAAAGGATATTGGCATCGGGTCCCGTTTGGAGTAGAAGAGACATTTCGAGATGGGTAAAACGGTGCTTTTACATATGGATGAGCGAGCCCCTGCCGCAGCACCGGTAACGGACAATAAGTGTTTTCTGGTTGTGACCGGTATATCAGGGCAACCTGGTCTACTTCAAATATGGGACGGAGCATACTCCTCCCGCTTTCGCCTCTCAGCCCCAATCTAGGAGTCTTCACAGGCAGTCCCTTCTGCGACAGACTATTTGTGTGTTAAATCTAAATTTACCGACAAAGAATTAAAGGCAGACTAGTATGGCTAGCTGATGAGAGCTAAATAGCTCGAAATAGTTGTACTAGTCTCCCTTTAATTCTTTGTCGGTAAATTTAAATGTAACCGACAATAGTTACAGATTTTTATGATTGTAGGAGAAGCTGAGTACTTACAAATCAGTTTGACTCATATACGTTTAGTGTCTCGTGAGAATTCAGCCAAGAACTAATCAGTACAGCTTCCTGAAAAAGGGAAGAACATACAAGCCACAAGCAGCAAACATGGAGAAAGGCTTCACACGAGCTTGGCAGGATCAGAGGATGGAAACGCGCAGCCATCCTCTCCCGCACAAGAATCGCCGAGACAGCCAGAGAATTCTCAATTTTTTTACCGCCTACTTCCGGCTCATGTACTTCCGGGGCACTAAGCCAACCCGTTTCCCTGAGGCAGAATAGGCAGGCGGGCTAGTGGACGGGCTTTTCTTTTCCGCCTTCCGCTGCGCGGGGCTTCTGTTCTACCCCGGTCTGAACCTGGCGGATCCAAGTTGGACGGAATCCGGGCGCGGCGAGAAGCTCTGAGTGGCCGCTCGGAGAGCTTTTCTGAAGCAGCGGTTACTGGAGGAGGAGGAGGAGGAGGAAGGGGAGGAAAAGGGTCGGAACGGCGGGGCAGAGTAGAAGGTGAGCATCTCCCGGTGCCGCCCCTTTCACGGGGCCTCAGTGCTTTGGCTCGCCGCGGTGGAGAAGCGCACTGGACAGCCTTTCAGGAGCACGTATCGGTCTCGGGGGGCCTGAGAGGAGATGGCTCTGCGCCAAGGTGCTGCGTCCCCTCTACTTTAGACTCTCCAGTCCTGGTTTCGCAATTGGGACGCGCCCCCTCCACGTCCCTTCTACCGAGAGAGGGACATCTTATTTGCGTGACTCTTAAGTCCATAATGCGCGGGATCCGGATTTTAGATAGGAATTAGTATGAATTAAATGATGCTAACTGTTGTGACATCTTATGAACTTGCTGTTCTAGGGCGGGGAGAACCGAAACGGTCTCTTTTGTAACTGAGCAATAATTTTATCAAACTATGAGAGGAAAACAGTTTTCTGAGAGGAATTCCATATTAATAAATAGTTACTGCTGTTCTCTTTGTGATCATCACTAGGTTTAGATTCTCTATTTTACGTTTCAATGTGTAACACAAGTAATTTTAAATATGATAGTAATGTGAAAGAGGATTCAAAATATGCCATGGTAACATTTAAAAAAAAAATCCATTATAATGTATAATGTTAACTCTTACCAAATTCAGGGTCACTTTTTTCTATATCTTATTAAGAGAGAAGCATTTACTTCAGTGATTTGAGCTTTGTACTGTCTTGTAGAATGCCATGGGCTATCTAAATTTGTATTACATGGAAAAACATTAATTAATGGCAGTCTGTATAAATGATATAGAATTCAGAGCAAAAAAATTTTCATATGAGTTTGATTTATTTAATTTTTGCACTTAAATAACCAGGCTGATTTAGAAAAAGTAAAATGTATGCCTTTAACAAAAGGCAATGACCATCTCATGATTAATCTCAAGCAATTAGTACTTAAGAGAAGTACAGTAGTTAACTGTGTCAAGCCATTGAGAATGTTACCACTTGTTCTATTTCTAATAACAGTTGCTATAATGCTGTTATTTTATTGCTGACAATGCTGCTGTGAAGTAAGTTCTAAAAATCATCAGGTTGTCTGTGGTGGAAAGCATACTACAATAGATGTACTTCTAGTTTCATCTAATGGAAACTTAAATAGTATAGAAAATTATATAGGAAGGCATAGTTAGGTTTATATGAGAGTTTTGATGTGAGTGACCTTTTAAATCTAATATTTTTCTCATTTCAATAATTTTGTAAATGTTTTTGCATGATGTCAACATAAGTGTTATTCATTCCACAAAGTAGTAACTTAGTATTTAGTAACTTGGTAACTTAGAATTTAGTAGCTTGCCATCGAGGTTGTTACACTTAGGAAAATTTATTCATTTCAGAGACAAATCTTGCTTAGCAAAGTTTCCTGTGAGATCAGATAATTATAACTAATTTGGCAGATGCCTCTACCAAGATAATGTCTCTTAATCTGGGTATATTTCTGCAAATTCATTTTAATATAGTTGTTAGAATGTGGTTACATACATCTGTTCTTTCCATGATTCAGCTCTTATTCTATGATAGTCATGGTGTTCATTTTGTAGAGCAGAGGTATTTTCATGCACTAATGGTGATGTTAAATAAGATTTCCATTTGTGTGATTGTTCCCTGAAAATGTATAATATGGTAAACATAACATCCTATGAAGATTTTTCCTAAGGAATATTAGTATAATCCAGAAACCCGGAGTCTTACTTACTGGATACCTTTTGCTTTTTTTTTTTTTAACAATAAAATGGGTTTAAATTTTTTGATCTTATATGCAGGTGATGCAGATGAGAATTTTAGATCAAGATTGGCACCCAAGAGATAATTGTGAGAGCAATTCCCATAATATGGAGAAAAAATGACAATTGGATCAGTCTATGGCTCAGTTTTATTTTTATTTATTAAATATATATGCCACCTATCTCTCTTTTTCCGAAGGAACTGTAGGTGACTTACAATGCTGTGAAATCATAAATATAGAATTAAAAACTAAAAATGTAGAGCACAAACAGTATGGGGATGGGCTCTTGTCTATCATTCCACCTTCAGCACAGTGTGCCCCCATTGGGGCCTGAAGCAATGGCAGAGCCAGGTTGTAAGGCCCTTCCAGAAAGCCAAAAAGATGGAAGTGGATCTCGTCTGGCAAAATGTTTCAGAGGACAGGAGTCACTGCACTGTTCTAGATCCCGCTAGCTGAAATTTCTTGACTGACAAGGTCTGCAGCAGACCCTTTCTACCAGACTGAATGGGGTGAGCCAATTCTATTGAAGCAAGCAGGTTTGCCCCAGCTGAGCAAACCTGCAACCAATGGAGCTCACCTAACAGCAGTGTTACATGCGTCACCGTAGAGGTCTCCTAAACTGTCTGTACCACTGCATTCTATATCAGTTTTAGCTTCTGAATACTTCATTTTAATCACGTATTTTAAAGAAGTAATTAATAGTAAATACTTAAATATACAGATATTTACATATTTAACATACATTCAGAGCTAAAGAAGCTTCTTGGATGAGAAGCGAAACATCTTCAAAGAAAAACAAAGTCCAGTTGCCTCTTGAAAAAGCACCTTTGGGATACTTAAATATACAGTGCTCTTTAATTTTGATATTGTTTCTGAAAAAGCTAATTGGAGTGTTGTAACGTATTGAATAACTTAAAACTATAGAAGTATGATCTTAACAGAAATATCAATTTCTAGCACATGATTTTTCAAATTAAATGTTATTTCCCAATTTTATTAATCTAGTTTCCATTGCCTAAGAGCAGAGTACAGAGAAGAAAGTCAATCAAATCCAACTGATGTGAATCCTTTTAATCTTGTAACAAAATTGTATTACTTTTGCCTTTTTGTCAGCCTTAAAGAAGAATTTTACCAACTTAATTCTCATCAGTATTTGTAATAATGCAGGAGTACAAAATAAGCCATTTAAATATTGTTTGAGTATGCAGGAAATTTGTACAAGGCAACTGGTTGAATCCATTTCAGGAAACAAACTGTTTACAAACTACAGATGAGTTCACCCATCAAATTATATAAAAATCAGACTATATAATGTCTTTCTTTTATTTGACTACGGTTAACAGAAATAATTTACAAATTAAGAGATTTTCATGAACTAGAATATATTTTCTTTTTGAACCATAACTATAATGTAAATAATTACTTGATATGTCAATAATGGGCTAGATAAATTTAAATTAGATTTAGACAAGATGGAGTTGATATAGATAAACAGAAAGCTGGTTTTGCAAATAAAGTTCAGCCTACTTTGGATAATCTTACACCCATGAAAGAGCAATTCCATAATATGGGAGTGCTCTTTGAATGATCCAGCTGTCACTGGATTCACAGATAACATGGATTTTTACACAAGATTGAAGTGCCAATAGTGACCTTTCATAGTCAGATTTGGTTACAGTTATCCATACCTTGGTTTCTTTCTGGATTTTCTATTGCAACACTATATATGGGATGTCATAAAGCTTGTGGAAACTGCATTTAGTACAAAAGATGATTGCTAAGTTGCCAACCAATGCAAGTTATAAGAATCAATTGGTTACTTTTCCGAAAGATCTATTATATTGGTTGCCAGTTGCTTATTGGATATAATTTAAGATGTTGGTATCTGCATATCTGGCATGAACTTGCTTGGGAGATCAGAGGGCTTTTTGACAAACAACATAGGCAACAATGCATTTTGGGAAATTGGTTATATCCTTCATGGTATCTTCCTATGCACACTAGTCTGGTTCAGTGTTTTTCTTACAGCAGACTTAGGAACACTGACATCAGACAATGCAAGAGTGGCCTACAGATCCTTTCCTATTACTCTTTGGGTTTTTGAAATCTCTTCAAGTATTGTGCATCTTGTTCTCAGGGTGTTCTTGTTTTTGTTCATAGAGCTTCTGTCCAATATGCTGATATTGAATTTTTAGGCTATTGATGTACCTGAAGAATTGGAATGGAAGATAAAAAAAATAATAATGCAGCCCTAATTGATTCATTTTAAAACTTGCAGTAACATTTTGTATGTGGTCATGAATTGTTCCTGTTGTAAACTTTAGTGCCAGGAATTGGGAGAATGCTATTTTTGTCCCATTATTGTTGATCAGCTTCCACAATGGGAAAAGAGAAGAGGTCCTGTTACATATTAGTAATTGGTTGAAACAGCACAAAATGGGAAATAAAATAAATGGATAAAATTTCCCAATGAAGGTTTCATTAGATGGATATATAAACATATGAATTTAACTATATATTTGGCAAAGTTTTTCTCTCCTAAAGTAGATAAATTTCTGAAAATGTGTGCTAAAAGATTCCATGTTAAAATGTATCGACAATTCCTTTCTGCAAGTTAAAAGTATCTGCATAGGAAATTATACTAGTTTTATTTATTCCTGAAGCAATATCCCATCTATTTCAAATTTTCCATGATTTGAATATGAAGACTTTGCCTGGTTGTGACTTTATCTGTATTCGACTTTGGCCTGCTGAAATCATTTTGAGTATGGACAGGAATGTTCTATTTCTGAACTCTGTATAGAAACACTTCTCTGATATTGGATGCATAATACTTTACTGTTTTATTAATAAGCAGAAATCTGAAATTGAAATTTGAAACATGGATGATACTGGGTAGAAATGTTAAAGCATCAAAAACACAAGAAAGTCAAGTGTTTCTGTAGTGTACAGAAGAGATCTATTTAAATGAAAAGAAGAGCAGTAGTATTCTACCATAATGTATTAAGTGTGGAAGAGACATTATTATACATTTCTGGTTCTTTCTTTCCCCTAGCCTTTCTTAGTTAAATCCATATGTATAAAAATGTTTTTTGGATGAACAGTATTACTGACCATATACCATTAATAAAGGAGGAAGGTCCATTTTATCTGTGGTTTCTCTTTAGTTTACAGTATATAAAGATAAAGCTATTGTAACAAAACAGCAAAAATTTGGTGGCTGAAAGTCAACAAACATTTTGTAATAAACATTTTTGTAAAGTAGATTCCACTTCATTCAGCAATAAAATAACTAAGGTTTCTGAATTGTCTGCTATGGATTTCTCCTTTAAGATAAATTCTACATTAAAGTACAATGTATGTCATTAAATTTTCCATGGAGTGTTAAAGAAAGCATTCTCTTTTTACAAAACGCAGTAGATGAAAGCACTCCAAATCTCTTAATACAAAAAAGCTGAGATATAATATTGAGTTGGTATAAATAGAAAAGCAAAAAGTTGACATTTCTCCATGTTTGAATTTGGGAGTTTATTTTGATAGCACAGACTGGGGATTTTGAATACTTATTTTGTATAGTGCTAATTCAAAACTATCTGGGTGATAATCTCAATATTGCATAATTTTTGCTACAGTGCATATCATGACAGGTTGTGACAATTCAGGAAAGGGTGTGATAATTCAGAAAATAACAGTACATACTGAATATATCTTAATTATGGCATGACTATTACATTATTGTATATTTATATTTTTAAGAATATANAAGAATATAAATTTCTGTGTGCAAGATTTGTTTATATGTGTTTGTGTGTGTGAATCTTAATATCTAATTATTGCACAGTGATTTGCCAGTTAGTGGCAGAGCTCCATGGATAGACTGCAGGATATTGTCAGACCGGCCCCAGTCTGATCTTTTAGGGAAGTAAAACTCTCAATTCCATTTGAAGTGAAAAGGCACTTTTACTAAGAGATGCTGATTGCAGGACAGTCAAGCGGAATCTAAAATTTCCGCGGGCCAATACAGAGCTAAAAACCCTGGTTTACCCGGGTGCATCCCCTGTGGTCCATCTGAGCATAGCCAATCCAACACCACCATGATGTTACCGGAAACTGTGAGGTGTTTGGGCTGGTGAAATTCCACACTCAGGGCAAACAGCCTTGAAGATGCCAGCACGAGCCAGATTCCAAATAGCTCTGTTCTTCCTCAACTGTCAGTTACCCCCTCCCAATTTCCCGCCATAAAGATATACAGCAAATTGTCCTTTTGTTCCCCCCTCCCTTTCCCATTGATGACAGAATGCGGCAAGGTGCCAAGCTGAAGCTACTAGTTCCGACATGCTACCCTCCTTGATAGAGACGTTAATCTCGCAAAACAAAAGGAAAGACACAATATAAAAGAGAAACAAGGTAGAAATACAGTTAGAATAGGATACTATTTCAATTTATCAGGATACTGGTTGTGCAAACATTTGAGAAGTTTGGCCTCTTTTATGTATTTAAGGTCCACCCATTCAGTTTCTGAAGGAGGGAAGTCCTTCCACGCTACCAAATACTGAAGTTTCCAAACTGGCTGGATAAATCCCCACTTTAGGTTTTTATCTATAAAAAGATGCAGCTCCTCCAGCTCCCTCGGGGTCATCAAGTATAGTTTGGGCTTGGGTAGCCTAGCCCCCAGCAAGATCTCTATGGAGCAGTCTGTTGATTGGTGGGGTGGGAGTTCATCTAAACTCTTTTCGCTAAATATATCCCGCAAGTCCCAGTACTCCATTGGAATTTGGTGATCAGCTTTCCTCCATTCTTGCATAGTAGACCTAGCCTTTGGTTTGGTTCCTCCCTGGCTTCAATTTAGGCTCTGTCCAGTCCATTGGATTTTTAGCAAACCCCACTCCAGTTCACATAAGAGTTCCACTTCTGTAGCCACGCTAGTCCCAGCACCAAATGTCTCTCCAAGCCCAGGGCCACAATAAAACTCAGAGTCTCTGTTTATGCCCCCATCTGCATTTCTATTAATTTGGTGATGAATGTCGCTGGAATCCCACCCACCCCGGTCACAGAGCCATCTAACTGGCAGAATGCCACTGGCACTTTGAGCAGTCTAAGTCTCACTCCCAAATCTCCACCAGGGCAGGGTTGACTAAGGACCTGGTGTCATGGGTACCTCAGAGGCTGGTTTGGAGGAGAAGGAGGAAGAGTTGGAGCTGGGACCATCCAACGGGGAAGGCATGCCAGGGGCTGAGGACGATACTGTCCTGGCCCCTTAGGCATTGGGGGAGGTGATCAACCAGACGGAGAGCTGCCTGCCTGCACAAACACGGGAGGATTGGCTGCTGATAAGCAGCCAATCTCTTCTGATGAGGAACAGCTGCCTATCCAAGGGCAGGGAGAGTGGAGTGTAGGCAAGTCCAGAGAAGGACTGCAAGACTACTTAGGAGGAGGTCGCCCCACCCCCTTCTCACAAGGAACACCTGGAGGGAAGTAACTTAAGGAGAAGCTGAGAGGAGTTAGTCTTTGCCAGGAACAATTGTTTCCTTTGGCTTACACTCCCCGGCTTTTACTTGTGCCTGTTGTTTTTTGCCTTGCCTCTCTTGGAAGATTGCTCTTCGCATTTTGTTTTGGACCGCACCCTTCTCTTGTGGCCTATGTTTCCCCTTTGCTTCACTGGGGTTTTGGAACTGTTTCTTGCCTGGCACCTGTTTTTTGTTCTTGTATTGTGCCTGGACCCTGCCTGGTGGATTGGACTTAGAACCCTCGGCCTTTCCCTTTGAGTATGCTCCTACTCTGTGGCCTTTCTTTTTACTACTGGGGTTGTGTTTGGGAATCTGAGGGTCTCTGCCTTCAGGGTAGCATGAGGGTGGAGCCTTACCAGTTGTTGGAGGGCTGTTGGCTGGAAGTTCATTAAGAAAAATACAAACACTCTAGAGGCCTGTCTTGCCTTGACCACCTGGGTCATAACACCTGGTGCATCCTGAGTCCAGAAGGGCCATTAGGCTGGCTTTATGCTCCGAGAACTGGGCTATCAGTTCAATGGGGACAGTCACCGGGATGACTGGACTACTTACCAGGGAGTCATCATTGGGGTTATTATTGCTCTCCTCTGAGCTCCACGCTGGGCTGGTCAGAGTTCTCCCGCCATCCTTCCAGGGTGATCTCATGGGCTCACAACTGCGGCTTGGTAGACTTTTTGGTGGGCCCCGGAGTTGTCTTCTGGGCCAGTCGGTTGGACCTACACTCAGCAGCCCGGTGCCTCTCATTTCTGTATTTGAAGCAGGCTGTGGAACATTGCTGAGAGTTCTGGACGCCTGTCTTTGCTTTTGGGGGTTCCTTCTTCTCTGAGAAGGATTTCCACCAACCTCTCCCTGGACGATGCTTGTTAGGAGCACGGTCGATCTCTGCTTCCTCAGGGAGGATGTACCAACCATGGACAGTGGAAGGGGTGCCCCTGGAGATGTAGGTGTTGTAGACCTCGTTGGTTAGCTGGTCTTTGAAGCAGCCAATCAGGATGTCTTGTGTCCAATCGTTCAGTCAGCAGATCGCAGAACTCCTAGGTATACTCGGCTTTATTCCTTCGGCCCTGGCCGATGGTCTTGATTCAGTCTCTAGCTTTTCAGTCAGCAAGAGGGTCTTCAAAGTGCTTGTGGAACACCGCCATGAAGCAGTTGAAATTTCTTAGCTCCGACACGTCGTCATTGTGGAGGGGGACCATCTACCTTGATGCAGCTCCTTCCAGGGCCATGGTGACACATCTCACCTTGCTGCCCTCTGTAGCTATTTCGAGACCATATTCTGCATGTAGGTCCAGACTTGAGCTAGGAAGGACCCCAGTTGCTGGGAATCTCCGTCAAATTTCACGCCCAGTAGTGGGGTCTTGCGGCTCCTCCTCGCCAGTGCAGTCCCCACAGGGGCCCTGCACTGGGCCACCCCTCCAGGTGTTGGGGCTGCTCGGCCGCTGCCGCCATGGGTCCGTCCCCGGCATTGCCTGCTGTGGCAGATGTGGTCACCCCATCAGTTGCTGACACACTGGGCATGATTGATTGTCTGGCTGGAAGGCTCGGATGACTGCTTCTCACACCTTGAGTTTTTTGAAAGCTCCCCGCATAAATTTGATGGCTTGCTCCATCATCCAATCGGCTTGTAGATGCTCTCCACCTGTCTCTTCCTTCTCTTCCTCCAGTTCTTTCAGCTCAATCTTTTGCTCCCTCTGGTGGCTTCCGCAAATAAAAGTCACCCCTGAGGGCTTCTCTTCCAAGTCTTCCTTTCTTCTCAGGGACCACTTGGGTCTTGGCAGGTTGCTGCAGCTCTCCGCATCTATTGTCTAGTTAGAGAGATCCAGCCTGGAAGGGGACCTGGACAAAGCCTCCCCTCAGCATTCAATCTCCTGGTTGCTCTCTTGAGCCAACATTGCGTGCACGATCCCCACAGTAAAGGTGATGCCCTCTCCAGATTGACAATAATGCAGATTCTGCTTAATGTCAGACCTGCCCCTGGCTGATCTCTTAGGGAAGTAAATTCTCGACTCCCTTTGAAGTGAAAAAGCACTTTTACTAAGAGATTGCAGGAGAGTCAAGCAAAATCTAAAATTTCTGCTCACCAATACAGAACTAAAACCCCTGGTTTCCCCTTCCCCTCCCCCCAGTGGTCCAACCGTGTGTAGCCAATCCAGCACTACCGAGATGTTTTATGCAAAACTCTGAGGTGTTTTGGCTGGTGAAATTCCACACTCAGGGCAAACAGCCTTGAAGATGCCACTGCTCCAGCACAAACCAAATGGCTCTGTTCTTTCTCTACTGTCAATTACCTCCTCCCAATTTCCCGCCATAAAGGTATACAGCAAATTGTCCATTTGTTTCCCCCCTCTTTCCCATTGATGACAGAACGTAAGGCGCCAAGCGTTAATCTTCTGCTAATCCCTGGTTTACAACACTTTAGTAGGAATGGTATGATTTAGGCTTCTGTCCCACTTTTTTTGTGAGCATGTTTTTTCTTTAGAAAATTACATACTGTAGAATTTTTTAAAAACTAATGAATGCAGTATATGAAATCAGCAACTTATCAAAACTTCCATTTCAGATAAAATACGAGGTTGTTTTTTGTTTTAGGTTTTCATTTTTCTTAATTATTTATAAATTAAATACCTTTTTTGAAATATATTCTGGTAAACATTAAACTATTAACAGTTATAGTACATACTAGTTACTGCTAAATATTTATTTGTTTACATTTTTTCTAATAGTTTAACGAAGACAGCTTGCAAGTATATGAAAAGATGGTTAGATCACGGTCAAGATCACCACGATGGAAACGAAGGTAAATGGTCCTCTTTTTCTATTGCTCATACAGGTTTTACTTAATTTACTAGAAGACAGCAGCACTAAATGATTATCTGAGAAATATTTTTAATTATTGCAATTATATTTGGAAGTAAATGTATTCAGGATTTTAGGGTGAGAGATCTTATCTGTAAGAATGGAATATAATATTCTCTACTGAGAATATAGCTGTGATAACATTGTTTATCTTTTGGAATGTAGCTGGTGACGGAACAGAAAAAGTTTTATGCAGCACTTAAAATTTGCTGCACTTCATATAAATAGTTTCCAGAAGCAGTTAGTCTGTATAATAAGAATTATCTACATGATAAAAACCTGTTCCAGTTTTACTTCATTTTCCTTCAATTTAAGCAACAAAAAAGTGAAGCAGCTTGTTTAATTTGCAAATGTTTTTTAAAAATTTCAGGATGCCAAATATAATAAGCTCCTATATGTAAGTTAGAACAATATTTTATGCTACTTTGTCAGACTCTCAAACCTACTGACATAATGTATGTTGCAATAACTGAATTGAATTCTGTATTTATGTGTTTTCATGTAGATCTTTATCACCAGTCTTCAGAGCACAGGAATACAATAGACAAAGGCATTATCACATTGATTATGACTCTGAATATAAGATTTTCCCAAAAGACTCAAAGAAACTTATATCTTGGAGAATGGAAGAGGCAAAACATGGGCAAACCAATCCCAGATATATACCACATGAAACTAACTATCATCGACTTCATGAATCCAGGTCATATTCCCCTTCTCTGAAAAGAAACCCTTCAGAACACATTGATAATCATAAATCTTTTAGAACATATTCACCTGAAAGAAATGAAAGTATCAGAAGAAACCAATTTACTTCCAGATATTTAGAAATGTCTCACAAAGAACACCATCAGTCATTTTATCCATCTAAAGTACATGTCAGAGAAGTGCATGAAGATACTCGAGCTGTTGGAAACACAAAAGAAATGAAGACATACCATAGGCCATTAAAGACTTTATGTAAGTTTGAAAGGAAGTGGAATGAAAATGACTTGAGGCAGCACCAATTACAAGAAGACAAGTATGTTCAATCATCTCGAAGATTTTCTAATGAATGTATGCCAAGGAGTTCTTCCCAGAAGAGGTAGAGAAATTGCCCAGTTTTTTTTTTTAGTGGTGTAAAGCCTCAAGTGAAAACTATTTTCCCTAATAGTTGAAGATTTCTGCCCAGAAAATTATTTTCTCTAACAATAAAAATATAGTTTAATTGTGGGCTACTGGTGTTAGAGGAATTTTATTTCTTTTATATTAATCCTGTTGGTGACTAGCATATTCAAGATTATAATTTCCCCTCTTTGGTGGCTTGAGGGATCACGGGGTGACACATTCTACCTAACACCTGAGTTTACCAGCATTCTGCATACATAAATTCTCATTTTCTTTCTTACTGCAAGTATAAACTACTTTATATCAACACAGGTATCCTGACCGTGATTACAGAGAATATGGGCCCAGCTCTAAAAAGGTGAATGAAATGGAGAGGTATGATAGAGAATCCGCAAGCAGTTCCAAATGGAAGCAAAATCATTCTTCCAATCAGAAAAAGGAAGAACAAAGAAATCTTGAAGATCAATGGCGTGCTGAACTTAAATACAGTAATAATTATGAAACTAAGGTTACATATGAGTATTCTCATAAACATCATAGATATCCAGATGGAGGAAAGTATTCCTCTGATGAAAAAGAGAAATATGTGAAGTTGGACAACGAGAAATACAGCTACTGTAAAGGAGTTTGGAATAGTAAATATTCAGGTCATTATAGCAGTGACAGAGCAAGCCGAATGGGAGAGCCTCACGCTGAAGTGGCAATGAAATATAATTCAGGGAAAGGCCACAGTTCATGTGCTAAATTCTTAGATCAAAATGAAAAAGAACAAGTAAAGAAAGATGTGGATTTTAGGGGAAGAATAGATTTTTCCAGCAGCTACCAGCATGATATCCAACATAAAATTTCAGATGTTCATGCTAGGAAAGAAAAACTCACTGTCAAAGTGGATATGAAGAAAACAATGCATAAATACAGGTAATGTCTCTTAATTATATTTTATTGATTTTATTTCAACAAATTATTAAAATGAATATATTTTGATAATTTTAGATCAGTACAGTGGTACTTCGGTACTCATCGTTAATTAGTTCTGGGAGGTGCGACAAGTACCAAAAACGATGAGTACCAAACAGCTGTTTCCCATAAGGAATAATTTAGTGAGTCACAAGGTAACCACACCAACAAGTTGTAGCTTGTGCGCTGAGTACCAAACAAATGATGAGTATTGGGACAACATTTTCATGTCAAAATGCATTGAGTACCAAATTCGATGACTTTCAAAACAGTTGAGTACCAAGATACCACTATACTGTTGAGTTCAGTGACCAGGATTCAGAGAATTGCAGTAGCTTCTTCCTCCATTGTCCCATCAGCTTCCTGAACATCTGAATATCATGGGACAGTTCTTCCCTTTATCTCCATGAATACCGGTATCTCCAGTGCAAGGAGCTGCAGTTAAAATGAAAACTCGGGAAAAAAAGCTCCTTTGCGTAGTGCATCCTGAACTATGTTTGTTTGAAAGTTATTTCAAAGTAATTTTAAATAATCACCTAAAAGATGAAAAATGTCATATAATTATAACTTGCTTGAATTAGCTTGGTCTTTAATGGTTTATTTTGTGACACTATGAATCATGTCTGTAATCAGTTCATATAATCAAAACTGGATGACAAAAGTTTTCCTAGTTTTATAATTTCAAAGACTGATTTGTGGTTGCTTTAAGCATGTTTTAAACTTGTATGTTCAGATGTGCCTTTATCAAGTAGTGTTCTCCAGTACGGGAGATGGAGAATTCACATGTGGGTTTTCATTGGATGCCTGCTCTTGAGACCAAGTAGTCAAACTAGACACGCCCCCTCTTGCTGACCCAGTCTTTAACTTGGTCTCAGCTCTTGACGACGTGTCTGGGTTGGCTCTCAGTTAATAGCAGGTTAGAAAGCCTTGGTGAATTCTCCTTTTCCCTTAAAAATCCCTTTCCAGATTCCAGCTACTAATTTGGTTTCCCCCTTTAAAA